GAGATAAGCAGCTTGAGAAACGATAAGACCTTTTCTAAATCTATATGAAACTCCCTTTTCCAATCTTATATCGTCCTTGTTGATTAACCTAAAGCTAGTTTTAATTCGAGGGCCACGATTCATTACTAGGACTTCCTTGTGGCTCGTGCTGAATATGGATAGAATCGTAATCCTCATTTTCAACGCAAGGGAATAATGAAAACAATGTGCATTATAGGCTTATGTCATATCCCACAAATCTAGATCGTGAATGTTCAATCATAAGTTCATATTTAATATGAGATCTGTAAATATGTGATCTAGGAGTTTATGGAAAATACTATTCACAAGAGGTGACAAATCATTATGTATCAACGAGATTCGAGCTCAAAGGAGTGGAATAATAGGGTTAAAAATCAAATTGCTAGAGAATAGTATAATAAATCACGAGAAATGTTATATTTACAAATTTTTTTGTTTAAAAACTACATTATGTCTAACATAACTAATCAAGATTATATAACCGGTGTAATTTGTAAACGAATCATTCTCCATAAATCATATCTCTTATCAATTGGACTGATCACTAATCTTATTGTGTTACTTCTAAATGCTGTGAGACCCGTTAGGTAAGTTTAGAACCAGAACAGTTGCTTTAGAAAATTTGCCTGCCAAATTATGATGCTTTTTAGCATTTTCATAAAAAACTTAAAAGAGTGTGCCTTTACATTTACAACTTGGGGGGACTCTTTGGGCTGCTTTTGTGAATATGTTATTGCTATATCATTAAAAAACAATACTACTGGGACGAATTAACAAACTGTTTTTGGAGCTATATGCTTTGTATTTTAACTTTTCAAAGTGCCAAGCTGGAAATTATGACTCTACCCGGAGATAAAGAATCATGGCGTTTAGTTGCAGAGTGCCACGTTCCTTAGACAATCACTTTACATATAGGTCCCCCAATCAAGCAATCGCTGTAAAACCTTTGGCTCCCACATAAGCAAGGAAGCTATGCTTTTTTTTTTAGAGTAAATATTATTTTTGGTTCTCAGTAAATTTTATGATGTCCGCTTTACTCCATAGTAAATAAAAAGGTTATTCGTGGTATCTAAGAAATTTAAAGTAGATCCATTTTAATCCTTTTGAGGATTAATATGGTTTTTTTTTGAATTTGTGAGGGACCACGATTTTAATTAAATGAGTCTATTTTGAAATTCTTAGTGATCACGAATAACCTTTTTATTTGCTAGGGACTAAAGCGGACATTGTGAAATTTGCTGAGAACCAAAAAAGATATTTACTCTTTTTTATTTATTTATCTTTTTTAAATTGTTTAATTCTCCAACAACATATATATACGTGCATGATTTATTTATGGGTTTTATATTTCTCATATTGTAAGAGATAATTTTATCACCTATACACATACAAAAGTGTGTGAATGCATATGAAGAAAGAAAAATACACTTTTATATGTGCGACGATATAAAATTATCTCCCGTAATATGTAAAATATTAATCTCTATAAATAATAATAGCTACCTTTGAACATTACAATGAATATACACTTGCAATTCCGTTTCCTGTACAAATTTTTTTTTTTTTTGGCTCCACAGTTATTTGGAAGTATTTAAATTTTTTTTGCCCTTCAGAATTCAGAAAATGACAGTCCTTTGTCTCTTTGTTTACGAATATATGAAAATGTCTCTGTGTTTTCTTTTAAATAATTTGAGAATTCCAATGATAACTTTGTCTATTATAATATTGGAATACAAACACAGCCTAGGACACTGTGCCTTTACCCGGCTGCCGACAGGCTACGCCCTACTTGAAAAAATGAACATGATACGCAATGAGATAAGCTTCACCTCTCCTAAGAAAACAAAGTACACAAAAAAGCAATTATTCCTTTCCTTCCTTATAATGCACATTAATTTAATTACGAATTTAAATCATACCATGTTACTTTCTAATAAGAGAATGTCATGTTACAAAAGAGAAACAGCTGAGGGGTATTTGGTAGAGATAACTAGACAATTTTTAGTGGTATTTTAACATAACTATGTTTGATAGAAGTTTCAAAAAAAAATTAACCATGCAAATGCTTTACCCAGCTATTATGTTTTGTTTGCAAAATTTGATGAAAAACACTGCTTCAGAAAACCAAATAGAAAGTGATATTTTTGTTTGTTGGGAAAAGAAAAAATGGGGTACAAATTTGGAGACAGAAATGCCCCTGGTTTACTTTTGGGAAAAGTAGAATCTCTTCAAAAAACCAGATGAAAGATGATATTTTCGTCTTTTCAATCTATTTTTTCATCAATATTTTATTTTTAATCAAGCGTAGACTCAGAAAATTTAATCAAATTTTTATCCTAATATCTCGGCCTATCAAATAATTTTTTTTTTAACTTTCCTACCAAACTCACTTTATCACCATATTCCTAGTAATTGTATTTACTTAATAAAAAAAATTTCTCCTCTTGTCAAGCACCTCTAAAGAACCTTAAACAAATAATAGGAAGTTTTTTACTATATTTATTTTTGTGTTTTTCTCAATCGTAGCAGATATTCTGAAACTAAAAAGTTAGAATTCGAGGCCTTTAATTAAGAACCTCCAGCTCCAGCTGGTTTCACGAGTAGCTTCTTGGTTCAAAGTTCAAATCCAGCGCAAAAGGAGAGGAGAACCTCAACATATTATAAGACTGATTGAAAAGTAATTATAGACCACACACTTGATTGAAAAACATGACTTGATTAATGAATCTTCCTTTTCTTTTCTTTTTTTCAAATTTTTCCACTTCATGATTTCATGTCATCATGCTCCTTCATTTGAAACCAGGCCATACTTTATTGACAAAAACCAATCATTTGTTTATATGGAATACCCAAATTGTGATAGATCCTAAACCCTGCATGATTTAGGGGTTTCTAGGCTTTGCTTTTTCAACTTAAAATTGTTTTTGAACAATACAAAGCACCTTGCTTTTCTATATGTACATGGATTTGCAATCTGCTTTGAAATTTACAAGCTTGCTGTATGGAGCACATATGGGACATAAATTACATTAAATTGGTCCCATTACACTTTAGCTACGTGCAGCAATTTCCATAAAATTCACTTTAGTTTGAAATGCATACACATAAAAGGTCAAGAAATTCAAACTTATAATGAGGTTCAGCAACGTCCATATCCGTTTGAAATTTGAACTTATCACAATGTAACATAAATAAGCTAGTTTTGTTAGACATGGCACACATGATTCCCTTCATAACAGTATCCATAATTAGTGTTTTTGACTTATTATGTTATACCTTTTATTTATTTTTTGGAATGTATCATCAAATATTCAATATGATTCCATGAATAGTTTCATTCAAGTAACGGTTTTTTGCCAAGTTATTATAATAATGTTTATAGTTAACTTTACTTGTCGTGAAATCACAGCAATCTCAAGTTCTTAACATTAACCCTGAAATGTAAATTAAACGAGTGTTTCTACTAATTCCCTTTTACCTTTATTCACCAAATGAAGAAATGAAAACTTAATCATCAAGCAGTTCCCACAAGTAGTATATGGGAATCATTCTAACCTTCGTATGGAAAAAAAGGACTCCCCAAAATGTTTGTCTCTATCTTTATCATCACTAAGTATTTAACGTATTATAATAATCATAATTGTTTATACAACATATTTTCCCCACTTTTTACCCACTCTATAATTCATATGTCACGCTTTCCATTTCTTAATAATATGTCCATAGGTGGCAGCAGGTAGCCAATCTTAATTTAACTTGAACAATAGCTGTCCCAATGTGTGACGAGATTAAAGCCAGACTCATGATCATAGGATAGTAGCAGCTGAGTCAAATTACTTTTTCTTGAATTATAACTAAATTTGCCGTTAGGAGATGTATAATATCCCAGCCGCTGACGAGGGCGGAGAGTGATCGTCGGTACGAAAGGGCATGGTGCGAAAAATGCACAAACAAGGAGCGGCTCCTGGCAGGCTTCTAGGGACGAGGTACATGAATGAATCGAATCAACACCCGAAAGAAAGGGATTCCAGAGACTGTGCTGGTATGGGGCAGTACAGTTGAGAATAACTTATAAGAATTAATTGGTACTACCTATACTAACAAGATGCATCTACTTTTCGGTAGCCCAGAACGGAAGAACTCCATAGTTAAGCGTACTGGACTTGAAGCAATTCTGGGATGAGTGACCTCCTGAGAAGTTTTCTCGGGAAGTGTGCGAGTGAGGACAAAGCACACTGAAAAGTCTCGTGTTAGTGTGTGGAGACAGTCGTTGATCCTTACAAGTTGTCAGGCGTTACAAGATGTATGTTAATTAGCCACCGCAAGAAACTGTTTAAAATGTTACTAGTATATAAGCTGATTAAAGTAAAAATATAGGGTTTTATTATTCTCCTTCAACATAAGATAGGTATCTTATGTTGTAGAGATAAAATGGGTGGGTTCCACCATTACAAAAAAAAAAAAAATGTGAGGTGCAGAAATCGAAGTGAGAGAGTAGGAGAGAAGTAATCTTATGCAAAAGGAGAGTAATATTTCCCAAAAATATAATAAATATATGGTCCAAAGAGTAAGATTTGGTACGGCATCATATGCTTAAAAGAAAGTATCAATATTCAGTATGTCAAATTACAAAATATATCAATTGACGTGTATTCAAGCATTCAAAAATCCAGTTATTTAGGACTCACTTCATTTGTCCTATAAGGGCATGCCCAACTAACAATTTTTTTAATCATTGTATGTGTGCAATTATTAGTGGTACATGGATGCTAAAGAGCCATGTAGTATTTCACCTTATAGCACATGTTAGTTAGCTGCATGGACCATCTCTATGATTTACTTTGTTTCTTGTACCTAAACCTGAGTGAGGACTATAAATAAGTGACCACTGTTGTGGAGACAATAAGAGAAATAAAATTACTTCTTTCAAGAAGATTCTAATTGTTTATATCTTATATATAGTTACTCAGGTAACTAAGATTTCTGCAAGCTACATGGAAATGGGAAGCCAGAGTTACTTCAGGGCTTTGATTCTTTGTCTTTTGGCATTAATTGCTTCAAATCATGCTCAACTGCAGCTGGGTTTTTATGCTAAGAGCTGTCCAAAAGCTGAGCAAATCATTTTAAACTTTGTTCATGAGCATATCCACAATGCTCCATCACTTGCAGCTGCCATAATAAGAATGCAATTCCATGACTGTTTTGTTAGGGTAATATGATTTTCAAGGTTATGCTTTACTTTCATTTTTTAGTTTAGGAGTATTATGTCAAAACTGAAGAGAGCTAACATCAAGCATTTTCAGGGATGTGATGGTTCAGTCCTTCTGAACTCAACAACAAATCAAGCTGAAAAGAATGCTCCTCCAAATCTTACAGTCAGAGGCTTTGACTTCATTGACAGAGTAAAGAGCCTTGTTGAAGCTGAATGCCCTGGTGTAGTTTCTTGTGCTGATATAATAGCTTTGGTTTCAAGAGACTCTATTGTAGCCACAGTAAGTACTCAATTCTATCAGGAACAACTTGAAGTTCAATTTCTGCTTCATCTTTATCTTTTACACAGAAATGACTCAGTTTCTTGGTTTATGACATTACTAATATGCTCTTTCAGGGTGGACCCTTTTGGAAAGTTCCAACAGGTAGAAGGGATGGGGTCATATCTAATTTAGTAGAAGCCAGAAGCAGCATTCCTGCACCATTTCACAACTTCACCACCGTCCAAACACTATTTGGCAATCAGGGACTTGATTTAAAAGACTTGGTCCTGCTTTCTGGTACTATATTTAAACAATTTCCTAATCATTATGCAATATTGTTGTGTATGCTAAATTCTGTGCTTTTGTAATCACCAATGAGTTCAAATTGTGTTAGGTGCTCACACAATTGGTGTATCACATTGCTCATCATTCTCAAGCCGCCTATTCAATTTTACTGGCAAGGGTGATCAAGATCCAGCACTTGATAGTGAATATGCAAAAAATCTTAAGACCTTCAAGTGCAAGAACATCAATGATAACACCACAAAAGTTGAGATGGACCCTGGAAGTCGCAAGACATTTGATCTTGGCTACTATGGTCAAGTGGTTAAGAGAAGGGGTCTATTTGTGTCAGATGCTTCATTGTTGACTAACACTGTTACAAAGTCAATGGTCACTGAACTTCTTCATGGGTCACTTGAAAATTTCTATGCTGAATTTGCCAACTCAATGGAGAAAATGGGACGAATTAAAGTCAAGACCGGGACAGAAGGAGAGATCAGGAAGCATTGTGCACTTGTAAATAGTTAAGAAGAATCTTTTTGTTTTGTTGATATTGAACCATCAAAGTGCAACTTGTATCATCTATTTTTAAGTATGGTTATTTATGCAATGCCAATGTGGTTTCTTCATCCATATAAGAGACCCTATGGTGTGGGTGTTTTATGTGTCTTGCAATAAGTGGTTTCCATAGTTATTCTTATTTCCTTGATCGATTGTAGATCATGTTCTTGTTGTAATAAGAAACAAAATTGAGTGAATTTCGGGTTACCCTACCCACAGTAGAGTTAATATATATATATATATATATATATATATATATATATATATATATATATATATTTAGCCTGTTGATTACATTATGGATGCACTTTTTCGCTAGTAATCTTGATTCAATGTTTTTTTTTTTTTTTTAAAAAAAATATACATATATAAATAAAGATATATGCTTATTTATTTGTTTATTTTGACTTACAGTTGAACCTATACAAATAGTGAACGTGAATCAAGTGTATGCGCAAGATTACAAGCCCAACCCAATGCAGTTCCTTACTAAAGTGGTACTAATGTACTTGTATTCTATATGTATGGGGAATATTTCTTCTACTCCTGAAATTTAATCGATTATTGATTGATAACTTTTTATCATTTGGTCAACAAACTAATGTGTTTATATTTTTCTAAGCAAAAATTACGTTAATTAACCGTAACGGGTACAGCGGATAAGTGGGTTGTACCTAAGAAACAGAGGCTGAAAATTTTCTGTTCAATTCTTAGGCGAATAAATTTGGGCTAGTAGCAAAAACTTTAAGGGGGTGTTTGGTTGAGGAGAAATTTTTTGAATACTAGGAAAATGTAATTGATAAGGAAATGGTTGAAAGGTGAGATAAGTAGGAAAATATAAAAAAAAGTTGTTTGGTGGAGAAAAACTTTACTGGAGAAATCAGATAACTTTTATGAAATCTATGTTTGGTTGGAGGTAAAATATAGATGGAAAAACAAGTTGGTATTACGAAAATAACCTGATTTTAATTTTTTTTTACGGTGTCATGCTACAAACAGGGTTGTTGCTCTCTCTTGGAAGGCAATGATCAATGGAATCAAACAGAGCAGAGTAATATTTCATATACAGACCCTCTCCTCTCTTCCCTGAAGTGAAATCAATAAAACTTTGTATGAGAATCGGTCCTACAAACATGACAGATAGTGTAACAGTGAAAAGGAATGCAATGAAGGCTAACTCCTTCCAGAAGCATCGAAGCAAAGTGATTCGAACTGGATGCTTCGAACTCTCGTTTGATTTGGGCCATTTTGATTCAAAGAGAGAGGGAAGCTACAAGGCAAGTCCAAATCTCTGCGTGCTCATCGAGGGTAAGCTGGTCTTTTGTTAGGATGCACAGTGACCAATTTGGGCAGCTTTTCAGCAATACCACATCGCCATGGGACAACTTTTGCCGGCTAAATGGACTAGGATGCCTATTCTTTTTGGTTATGTAGGCAACTCATTTAGGTGGGATACTGTCACAGATACTCCAACCAAACGTGGTCCGTGTAAATGCCTTGCTTTCATTCCCCTATCTTTCTCCACCGAATCCGTTAACCAAACGTCCCCTAAGGAGATTAGTCTCATCTAAATAATTAGAGACACTCCAAAATAATAATAATAATAATAATTAAACAATAAATGTTGTTAATCAATAATTAATTTATTTATATCCAGTTATGGGGTAGATATAACATTTCGTGTAGATATAATAAGAATAATTATATAAAGGAGGTTTGCACATTGTTTTATGGAAAATGCTAATCTTATGTTGTAGAAGACTAATATTTTATGTCATAAAAACACTTTTTTAAAATAAATAAATAAACTTTTTATATTTGTGTCTATGACATGAGATACTAGTCTCCAGCAACATGAGACTAGTATTTCCCTTGTTTTACATAAATATAATATTAATATATTTTTGTTCTGCATTGATGCGAGACAGAATACTCTTTGCATTAATTTGTTCATCTTACTTAATTAAGATCAGAAAATTAGTGTTTAAATAATATTTTTGTTAACATTCAGCCATCTTTACTTTGTTTGTATTATACACCAAAAATAAAAATAAAAATAAAATAGAAAATTTGGAGCGTGGATTGTTAATTTAGACTTTATATTTTTAAAATTCTAATAATTATTCCACTAATTGAAACTTACCACTTCTTTAGGTAAAATGTATTGACTATATGTACCAAAAAAAAAAAAAAAATGTATTGACTATATAGACCAAGGTTTTATTCCCTTGGTCCAGATGACACAATATCTTTTAAAAATGTGAAACAACTCTCAAGCATGATGCAAAATTATATGGAAAGTAGGCTTTAAGGAAAATGCAGAAGTTTTCTGCCATATTATCATTCTTCAATCATCAAAAGTCTTCCCTCACATCCTTCTAACCAGCCTTTTAAAGGCAATACAAAAAGTAACTGACAACAAAAGACCATCAATGGTTTTAAAAACTGATACAAAACGGAAATAACCATAAACAAAATATTAAGTCATGCAAACTGAAACGTCTGCAATTATTAAAATCCATAAAAAGCTTTAAAATTGAAACGTCTGCAATTATAATAATTTATGGTGACTTAAGTGCATCAATCTCTCTGTTAATACATCCCAATTGCTTCTATGGAATAAAAAAATGAAACAACTGGTGTAACATATGTTTGTATGCAGACAATTGTGGATGTATTTGAAAGAAGCCAAAGTTTCAAAACAACTACAAGTTCTCCTAACAAGTGTTTCCCTTTGAGTGCCATCCCTGCTCTTTTCTTTGCAATTTAACTCTGTCAAGGTTGAGAAAGCCTCATTGTATTTCTAAAACAGTTCGATTCTGCATATGACTGTTTTAGTATCATGGCTCTTCTTTAATGCACTTTGGACAGCTGCATCTAAAACCATAATCTGCAAGGGATGCTTGTCTCTCTTCAAATGGAAGGTCCTCGTCAACATATGAGATTGTTATCTGAAAGTCCTTCCAAATGTTTATTAGTTGAACAAGGCAATCTATCCCAAAACATTAGAAATTCAATATGGTAGAATTTTATTTATGCTGTCCTTTTCAACCTTGGTGTCATAAACATCATCAATCATTGGGCAGTAAGAAAAACCAAATTCTGAGTAAAATCATTTAGTTAAGAAGTTATTGGCCTGTTAGATATTGGCATCAACCAACCTCTTCTCCTTTACATATGGACCTCAGTGCAATTATTGTTGCTTGGCCATCTCTATCCTGCATGCAGAAGATGTATGCTTTTAAAGATAAATCTTCAGATTCAACGTTACATAAAGCAGAGGTAAAAGAAAAGGGAGAAAAGCCAAACATAATTGGTTTCCAATTTTGTTTTTTTGGTGGATAAAAGCCATATATGTGTTTCAACTTTCAAGGTTAGAACCAAACAATAGTAACATGAATAGAATCTAGACAGGTTGCAGAATTGAGGAGTACAATAAAACATGTTGAATCCAATAAAGAAAAATAAATGTGACTTCAATATTGACGGGAAATTGAAGCTGACATTATATTCTGAACTTAAGTTGTTGAGTCATCGTTATCATAAGATTGTGGCTTTCTTAGTAATTTATGACAGGACGAAAAAGCCACATGCTTAACCAGCAAAGCAAGCACAAAAGGAGTACTTTCAGAGGGCTAGGGAATCTTGTAAACGCATATGGCAGCAAAATGGACTAAAGGAAATCTCATTTTCTTTCATGTTAAAACAAAAACATGAATAGTAAATATAAAAGGCCAAAGAAATTTATCTAATCACATCTTTGTGGCATCAAATGAAGTATGCGATCAACTCAAACCGAACCAAAATAGTATATAAAATCAAGATAGTTTTGCACCACATACCTCATCTCTTTTGAAAGCTTTGGCATTGGGACAACAGGAATGGTTCATGCAGCTTTGCAAAGGAAAAAACGCAGTTCCTAGAATACAATTCAATAACTAAATAGATTTAACACTCAACGTTTAAAAATAATGATAAAAATGAATCAGGATATATCCTAAGGGTATAATACAAATGAAACTGCATTATTCCTATAATCAGTAAGGTAATAATACTATAATGCTTTCCTTTTGAGAGTCGGGTAGATAGTGACATAAAGCAATCACAACTAAAGCTTCATCAAGTCACAAAACATTTGCAAGTAAAACTAAATAAATTCTTATGACAGATGCATAATTTCCTGATCATTCAGTTTCAGATTTAGGAACGTTGTGGAAGGGGGGAAATTTTAGCCATCAAAAGTTGAAGAACAGATGATAGCTCTCTCATCCAAAATCAAAAGATATAATTATTTAATGGGATAGGATCCTTTGACACCGATGTCAAATTTTGAAATTTGACACCAAATCCTAACCTTTAATTTCCCCCAATCAACGGTTATCATTCATTGAGAGTCAAACTTATAAATTACTATTAATTCACAATAAATGATAGCCGTTGATTGACGGAAATCAACGGATAGGATTTGGTGTCAAATTTCAAAATTTGACACTGGTGTCAATTGATCGTGCCCCTTATTTAATTAGTCCATAAAAGGCTAACTTCAAACCACCAATCAAACAAAAGCTATTAGGTAACACCTTGCATTAAGACAATATAGACAGAGCATGAACATCAGTAATGATACGAGAGCTTAATATTAAGAAAGGAAAGATGAAAAAAAGAACCCAAAGTTGAAGTATAAATTTTACATGAAGAGACAACTGCAGATACAGACAAACTGCAGTAAAATAAGTACCTTGGCAACAAATAGAATAGTCTTCATCAAGAGCATCCAGAATTGGTTGTGTAATTTTCATAGCTTCTTCCTGCCATTAATGATAACAGAAAAGAGTAAAAGAGCTTATGCTTTTGAGATAAAGTAGTAAAGCAAGCTGAACGATATTCCAACCTTATTAGGATATGTCAGATCATCAATGTATAAAAAGTAATCCTCCACAGGAGAAGCTACAACCAAATCACTGACAATATAAACTCAGGATTAATATACATATCAGTATAATAAAAAATTTAAATTATGGTTCTCAGGTTCAGTTTACTTCAATGGCTATACCTATATCGCAATATTCAAGCATTGTGTTACTGGAAGCAAACACGACATAATATATGACTGACTAGAAAGAATAGAACAAAAAAAGATTTCCATGAGCTCTTACAGATTATTCAGCTCATACATGCCGATGATATGTCCATAGATTTCGAGGGAGAATACTGGAAAGAGTCAAGCATTTAGTGCTAAAATTTCAAAGAAAATGAAGACTCAATATTACTGGGCATACACATAATGAATACATCACAAAATCAGCAGCTGTAAGGATACATGGCTCACATTCCTTGTCAAATATAGCTGTCTTAAGATGTTGGAGAGACTGAAACATCAAATCCATAAGCAGAAAATTAGGTATAACACATTAAATCAGTGAATATAACATTTCCTATCATGCACCAAACATCTGAAGAATCTCACCTCAAATGCCAACTCTTTTATTTGTTTCCTAAACGTAGCTTCATCAGAAGGATCAATATCATCTGGCAATGCAATGCATTCCCACCACCTACAAACACTTTGTAATGACTTATCTTACATAAATATAAAATCTTACAAAGTAGCATATTTGAATAATAATTTTTAATGTAAAACTAGAATAAATTATTCTAGCCAACAATGAAGTTGATATATTATTAGATGAGTTTTACAAAGTAGTTGAAGAAATAAAAGTTATACTTTCAAGAAAAAATGATTTTAAAGAAAAGTATAATATTCCACCATAAAGAAAATCCAAAAAAAAAAAAAAATCCAAAATCTGCTTTGTTTAATAAGAAGTCTTACAAAAGACATATTTCACTCTCTAAACAGTTTGATAAAATGGATAATTTGACAAGAGCATTGAAGACATTGATAAAGACCAAATCATATATCTCAGATTTTCTCAAGCACAATGAAGTATACATTTTCAACAATCCCGCAACATAAGCATAGGTAATGCAACACATATACCACAAATAATTTAAAAAACTTAATTACTTAAAACCATGGTCCAGTATATTCCTAAAAGGCATGGATAACATGCATATTTGTCAAAATTCAAGCTATCAACAAAGATATTAGCACGCTTCGCCTCAAAAAACTCCATCGTGCACTAGGAAAGCATTAGCACTCTGTATTCAGGTTTCATGTAAACAGGAAAAGTTAGTCAGTAACTACCTTCTCTTGTGTCCCATTGATATAGGCCTCCAAGCTTCCTGAAGAAGAGAGAAATTACGGTGGTTTGAAACACAGGATGTATCACATTTCACTTGCTCTTCAAGATGGTTTGCTTTCAACTTGTGGTACCTTAATATGGTAGAAGAAATAGCCTAGTCATAAAATCCAATCAGGCTTCTGGTCAGATAAATCTAGTAGAGATAATTTAAGCAAGACAACGACAATAGCTTATTTGATAAGCTGAGCATCTATAAATACACACATGTCTATGTCTACTGTCAAATTAAAGGGTAGCTTAGATAGAACAAAACAAATATGTAAATTAATTAAAGATAAAAGGACCGTATGATATTGAGGAAGAACCAATGTCATATAAAAGCAAAATCTTTGCCAGACTGTTTTTTCTATTTAATGTACCAGATTGTTTTTCCTTTTAATGTCCCAGCATTTACTTCAAGATAATACTTATCTAAGTCTAGTGACAACAATACCAGGTGTGGTTATCAGATACACGTGCATAACTGTATATGTATGTTTGTACGTGTGTGCACGTGAGTTTTTCAGGCAGCATTCAAGAGACAAGAAATTCAGAGCAATATGAAACCTTACTTTTGCAGCAAGGAGGAATATATCATTTGTTTCTGGGAGAAAAGGAAAGAACATTAAATAAGCAAGACACGAAACAAAATGGTTCAGAACAAACTTAGATTGTTAAAAATTATTGATGTCCATAAGTTAGGAGTCTTACCATTAGCATGTTTGATGAATTTAAGGAGTGCCTCCCTATGTTCCAGATCAGAACTCTCGCCAGTACAGAGTAAAGAATGGGAGGATTCCCAATCAGCCTCTGCGCACGACGTGCTACAGGTATTGAAAACATCATAGGAAGAGATTATCTCACACTTCAAACCGAAAATAATGATGTGCAAGAACAAATATCCCAGTAACCGCAGGAAGCTGCAGTTAAGAACAGCTTTCATCTGGCAAAGCTTTTAAAAGTAGCTTATCAACGGGAATACAGCTAGCTACCTCTGTATCTGTGCGAATCTTTATAGCAGTCTAGGTTCTTTTTTTCTCCCAATCTCATGTAGGTGATAGAGACATTGACATCAATGCTTTATGTAGCTTTCTTCTTATATTCAAGTTGAAGAATATATAGAGGGGGTTTACTGGTGAATGCAAAGTAGTCAAAGTATCAAACTACCAAGACTCTACAATCAGTTTTACTCTTTGAAATAATTAAATGAGAAGCAATCAGCATTGGAGTTTGGATCCCCATGCAGCATTCATTTCTGACCAAAATTTCACAACACTTTTCGCAGTAATCATTTATTCCTGCTCCTTGGTAGGAAGCATTGGCAAAATAAAAGCATAAAATTTTGGGTTGTTACAATTATATACCCCATATTATTTCTTCAAGCAACCATAGCCTTACCTGCAATAATAAGCTTCTCCACATCCACCAGGGCATGGAACAGCAGGCGGCAAGGAGAACTCCTCAGAGCAAGGCAATCTCAATTGGCCATTCATTAATGATTCCACAACACCTTCAGGGAGAGGAACTCTAGTTTTGGAACTACCAGAAGCACATTGCTGAGTGCTCTCCTCTTCATCAGATGAATCCATTTCATGGCAGTTTTTGGAAGGTTCCAAAAAGTTTCCCACATCACAACCATGACTGTCATTAGCCCTTAATTGTTGCAAGTAAAGCCTCCTTCCAATTTGAAGTTCTATGGAACCAATAAAACGAAAGCAGAAGCTACAGACAAAACAATCAATCTGCAAAGTAGGGTAGAAAGTAAGAGAAAGGAGCAAAAAGTTTTAATATAGCTACACAAAGGGGGATAAAAACCTTGTTGAAAGAGTGTTGAGACCCCACAAACATGTGATCCTTCAGAACAAGTTCCCCCTCTTTGAAGTCCATGGCAGCATATACACCTGCAGTTCTCCAGTAGCAGAAGAAATACATACTATAATAAATATTAAAAAATTGAAAGAAGCCATTTGAAGAGCATATATAAATGTAGCACCTTTCATGCAAAAATAAGAGAAAAACATGCTCTTGCAATTCTTACACCCAAAATAAATAAATAAACAAATAAATAAAATCATGTTATGGGACAAAAACAAATAACAGGTTTATTAAAATTAAAAGAAGTACCCTTTCCAAAGTTCCCATCATGTTTGACTGTGATACCAGTGCACTGCCTTGCAGACAAAAGGTTATGATAATATTCCTGAAAAAAAAAGAAGCAAAATCAAGAGCAGAGCAAAAAAGAAAAAGGTGGAGAAAGTTAGATGAATGAAGAGATTACCTGAACTTGAAGAGGTGAGGGAGGAGTGAGAAGTGCAGAGATTTCAGTGGCACACCCAGAGTAAATAGGGCAAATGGGCTCCATTCAATTTTCGGAAGAGTGTGTCAACAAACACAACACAACAAAGCTCTCTCTTCACAGAGAGAGTTACAAACGTTGGCAAAACTGCAAAAGCATGACGGCGCTCACAGATCAGGAACACCTCGTACCAATATTAACATAAAATGGTACATGTTTCGGTCCCTCCCATGTGTAACTTTGTTTTTGAATACTAAATAAGATTGGATTAAAGTATAATTCTCATTTTTATCTCATAATTATATGAAAATAAGTTTTAAATTTAATATATATATGTGTAGAAAAATAATTATCTCATTTTGCAACAGAAACAAAATAGCCAGGTCCACTATTTTTTTTATTTTTTTTTGAAAAAGTAGTAGACCCTACTATCTTGTCTCTGTTACATGAGATAGTTATCTCATGCAATATTAGATTAATAAATCCCATATGTGTAATTATTTTGCATCTAATACTTAGTGTTATAACACCACATGTTAAAGTTATAGCCGATGCAAGTGTAAGTTTAGGGGAAAGGTTATATTTATTTATTTTTATTTTTTTTATTATCAAATCTTAATCGTTGATTTTCGTTAATTTAACAGTTGTAATTTATTAAAATTTAATAATTAATTAATAAGTGTGACCCAATAAATTATAACCGTTAGATTGATAGAAATTAACGGTTAAGATTTGATAGTAAGAGATAATAAAAAATAAAATGTAGTATGTATAACATCCCCTAAATTTAGAGACTAAATTAAAAATAAATATTACTTACAAGGATAAAAAATAGTGGTATAAAACTTATATATATATATATATATATAAAGAGATAAAAGTATTATGACTTTTATATCAAATTTTAATAGTCATTTTTAATTTGATTCTTGTACTTAACATCAACTTTATGTTAATCTTGTAATATTATAATGATTATAAACGGTGGGGATAATGTTAAAAACGATTACGTGCATAAGGGTTAAATTATTATTTTTTTCTATATTGATCAAATTAAAAAAAATGAGTGTCACAATGCTGAAAATATATTTTAACCTAAAATATTTTATTTTAACTCAACCTCATATTGAGTTACCCCAAACAATCCATTTTGTTTTTATTTTCTATTTCTTAATAACATGGGTCCGTTTGAGTTTTTTTTTTTTTTTTTTTTTTAAATATTCTTCCGAATTTCTATCGAACTTGACAAATGATGATTGAGTTGATTTCTAATAGATAAATGTTATTTCCTTAACAAATTATAAAGCATTAAAATAGAAAATTAAATTAAAACATTTATATATTAAATATATTCTTTAAGTAAACAAAAATATGATTAAGTTAATTCCTCAAAAGAATATAGATTTACTCTTTCGTATAGTCCCCTATGAACTCTAATATCTGATTATATGAATACTCTACTTCGTTATATTCCAAATTCCAAATTCGTTCTGTGCAGATTCGTAACACATGTCCCAGATATTGTTCTCTAACTCGAACATAGTGATTATGACTATTAAACATTGTGTTGGCCTCTGTAATTTAATTTGATGCAAATTAATAACGCATTGCGTTAGAGAAATCTGAGTATGGCTATTGATTTTTATTTATTTTAAACATTTTGTCACATCTTGATGTAATGTTAGCAAAGGATCTACAAACTACATTTTTACAAAATATTTTAGATACCCCGTCACATCGCTGACTCGATACAAGTTAATCAAAATGGGATATTTTTTATGATATGTGAACCAAAAAAAGAGAATTTTTTTTTAATCCAAATATCAATTTTTAAACAGAAGTCATAAGTAAATCGGGTCTACCGAAAATGCTCTGGTCATTCCAAACCATGTCAGTATCGAAATGCCACTACTAGAAAGCTATAAAGCATCGATACTCCTTAAATTTTTTTTCCAACGTATCGGATACGCATATCGGAAACGTATCGGACACATTGTATGGTAATCAACATCCTGTATCATCGAGAACGTATCGCAAACGACATATCGGTGCTTCATAGCCAGAAAGAGGAAGAGTTACATCAAATACACCAAAATGTTTCGAAACTATACAATCAAGAATCAATAAACTTTTCCATAGCTACGTAATGTTAGGAGAATGCTCATTAACATTATCCATGATGTCATATCATGTGATGTAACTATGATCAGTTGTCAGTGTAAAATGTCTGGATGGGGTACAATCTAATGCAAAAATTCAAATCAAACGGGAAAAAAAAAAAAAAAAAAAATAGAACTCGTTCCTCAAAGCATCATCATACACATACACAGCAGGTCTTTCAACCCCTTAAAGCTTGAAGAAAATCTAACCTAGTTCTCATACATGTAGAAAAAACGATTGGTGAAGGTGGAATCCAAGATGCAGATAGAAACAAACTAGTAAGACATTTATGAATAACATCTGATTAGTAGTGGTTTTAGTTTTTCATATGGATCCAAAGAACTGTTCCAGGGATGGAGCACTGAACACATTTGAAGCAGTTCGTTCGGTTTTATAAGGAGATACATGAAGTTGATACTTGATAAACCTCTGCAACATGATTTGTTGTTAATCATTAGAACACATAATAGAGTAGTCTTTTTATAGTTTTTATATCAGAGTATGAATTTGACTTGCTGGATAAAGTTGAGAAATAGAGTAACATACAGCTAACTGAGAAACAATTTCAGGATTTGTGTCAATGTGCCAATCTGGTTCCAATTGCCGAACAAATGATGACCGTCCATTTTCTGTGCTGCAGAAGAGAACCTGCACCATAGATCAAAATAGAGCACAAAAAGGTTATTAAGAAGCACAAGAGAAAAGTAGCCAGCAAGCGCTCTGTCGAACTCATGGATATTTACAGCATTCATTAGATACACAGAAGATATATATGTGCTGCTACAAATCATGATTTAGGCAATAAGTATTTGCTGCCATCTAACTTCGCAACATTTTTCTGACCTTTTTTTCTTGATTGTTGCACCAACTAGAATGATCCAGCAGATACAATTTTTGCAGGCAAGACGAGGAGAAAGACACAAATATTTCAGAATTTCAGGTTCTAAGGACCTCTTGAAATAACACTAAAAAACAAGCAGCAAATGACCACAAACATTTATTATTATTCAAAATAAGACCCCTAGTCATGCTGAATATTCATTTGCTAGACAACCATTCCACATTGAATTTGTCTGTTGCCTTAGGTTTCTCAACAGTCATAATTCTTCTCAAAAAAATAAAAAAAAACTAAAGTCCTCTCTCCAAGGGTACTCTTTAAATTAGTTTAGGTCTTCCTTATGACATCTCTGATCAAGATGCTTGTCAATACAAATTTTAATCACATACAAGGGTTCACTGTTAGAGATAATGTTGATACATTTTTAAATAATGAGATAGATCAATGATATAAAAACCGGCTCCAACCGGCCGGTTCGAACCGGAAACCGGTAATATAACCAGTTTGAGCAATGTAATAGATCGGCCATGTAATAAACTTGGCGGGAAACGGTCCGACTAGGTCGGTTTTTAGCAAAACCGGTGACCCAGCTTGTTCACATAAAATCCGACTGGGTCATACAAATTAAAAATAAAAATAAAAAATGCATCGTTTTGTTCCTGAAGACAGTGGTTTCGCATATAGCAGAACAAATGATTTGCTTTCTCCCAAATCCCTTCTTCACAAATTGCTTCCTCCCAAATAAGCTTTTTGCTTCCTCCCATACGCATCATTTTGTCTGTCTCACATCTTGAAATTGGGTCCTGCTGGAAAAGGCACCGCCATTCTCATTCTGGATGGCACCATCGACCCTGTTATATATACGCCTCCACAGGACGAATATTCAACCAATAATTTTATATTATTCAACATTTCCAATCCTGATTGAAATTATTCTCGTGCCTCCTATTTCTTTACACGGGGATTATATTTTTCACATTTGCAAAGATTAATTTCTCACAAGTTGAATGTATTCTTTTATTGGCTTGGACTTTTCTTCTTTTCCATTTCAGTTTGGGATAAATTTTCTCCCTCGTCTTTGAACGAAAAATGTGTACCTTCTTTTCCATTTCACTTTTGCATTTTACCAAAATAAAACCCTTAATTCCTTTACATAATTCTTCTTTGAGAATCAGTCTGTGTGATTTTTGATGTTTCAATGTGACTTTTCCTCTTCACCTATTTTATATTATATACATTTTTAAAGAATTTTTATAGAATCAAATATATACAAGTGCCCTAGCTATTTCAAGAATAGCTATAAAAGTGTTTGTGGGTTGATACGGCCTTACTTTATTTTTTAATTTTTCTCAAGATGGATGAATTGGTTGTGGGTTAACATTAGCCACAGTAGTTTCAGCAAAGCTGAAAATAAAAAGGAAAGCATGCAGTTGCTGCCAAGTACCACTTATTGGATGCTGCTTGTGGTTGTTACCATAGTATTGTTACCAAAGGATTGGTTCAACCAGTGATTCACTGGTTGAACCAATGACCCAATACCCCGGCCGAGTCGATGACCGGGCCGGATTTAATAACATTGAGATATATATTCCTATGTTGTCCATCAAAATGTGTGCTGCACACAAAAGGATGTATGCATAAGGTGGAAAAATACTTGTTTATATGCTGACATGGCTGACAAAACAGCCTACAAGAAGATAGTCAAGTTCTACGTAGGAAAAAAAAAACATGTAATCGTTTGGTGCATGTTCACATACCTTGTCCTTAGACAAACCACCTGAAGTGAATACCCCTGCTTCTTCTAATGCTACAAGAACTCTTTTCTGCAGAAATAAAGCATAAACATTTTAACAATAATGTATACTACAACAGGGTGGCAAGAGAGGTATTAGACCTGCAAGTAATTTTAGTTTCACCAAATACTAACAGCTGTAAGAAATATACGATCTCAACAAGTTCAGATTAGCAATTGCATGATATTAATAATTCAGCAGTATGTGCCCAATGTTGGGAAGGATAAGTTGGACAAAGTCAAAGAGAAGAGATAATAAAATCATATTGACATTTCATACATCTAATGTGTCATTAATAATGGCAACCATAATAGTTCCAAACGCTGAATCCTAGTGTAAGAGTTTTTGCCTCAAGCAACATTACAATGGGAAGTATTGTTGATCAGTTGCATAAGTTCATCAGATAAGACACTATGAATTATATAAGTTGACAAATGACACACACCTCACTTTCATCATCCAGAACTCGTTCCATGAGATATAAATCACAAAACTTTGTAATTTCCAACAATACTTCTAGCACAGAGGATCTCACAGTTGCTTGTTTCTGCCAAGAACAGAATGAACCACATTGATATCTTTCTCCGCAATGATGTCATAAAACGAAAGTATAAGAAAGGACAATTTCACCACCTGAAGCTCCTCTGGAATACTTTCCTCAAGGATCACTCCAAGAAGACGACAAGTTACCTACATAGTACATAAACATGGGCCATAAAAATCAGGAAACACAGGCCATACCAACGAGCCACAACTAACAGCACAAACTTGTAATATAAATGTTCCTCATGCCATCAAGTATCTCAATCAGGTATATAACCATGTTGCACAAAGACAGGTATGTAACATATCTTATTCAGGTTTAACATGAGAAAAGGAATAACAGTATTGTACCATCTATCAAGATAGACAAAATAAATAATGTAAAACATAAAAGCACTAAACTTGAACCTGAAGTAAACATAAAAATAGCTTGTATTTTAAAGATGGTTTTATTAAAAACCTAAAATTTTAAACTAATTAGATTTATAATTTATTAATTTAATGAGTACTTACTTATTTAAAGTTCCACTTTAGTAATTTGATTATCATCAATCATTTAGGTTTTAACTTCAAAAATTCGAATTAAAAGACTGTTTTCATTCCATCAATAAGAGATATTCTTGGTGAGTAAGTTTGAAGTCATGATCAATAGTACACCTTTACATTGGGAGAGGCTACATATTGAAAACCCCCCATGGCCTTATTCAAATCACATACATAAACAAATAATAATAATAATAATAATAATAGTAAATATTCGCAGCCATTTGACTCTCAATCAAGGGGATTAGGAATTGATAGGGGCCACATGACTACCGGAGAGAATATGTTTTACCTTTCTTCCTTCGCTCAATTTCTGCCTAGCTATCTGCCCCAACGTTGGCTGAAAAAAAGTTAAGGAATAAAGCAAGCTTAGAATTGCAAATCACACGCAATGCTATCAAACTCAAGCCAACATGTCTTGTTTAATCCAAAATACATTCATGCACTGTCTGAACTCTGAAGCACCAAGCAAAGGAGAGTGACAGACACATTTTAATTTTTAACTTAACTGGCTGAAATAACTCATCCACAACATTTTGTGCCCTTGAATCATCTGAGGTTGAACAAGCTTCAGAAGGAACTACAGAGGCACTTGAATGTGTACTGACTCCAGGATTACTAGATGTAGAACCTTGCCGTTTCCTCCGTTGAGACCCTGCAGGAGATCTCAACAGCCTCCAGGTGAAAACAATTGCAACAGCAAGACCAGCAACAGCCCCAATAGAGCGTGAATCCTAATACCAAGTATAATCTTAAGACGATTATTGAAAGAGACATGGTCCAAACAAAGACCAAAACAATACTTTGATCATCTACACTACACAACATTACTGAAAAAGATAAGTAGCAGCAGAAACTAGTCATTATTACCTCCCAACAGTACTTTATTTTTTTTATGCACCCAAACTAACAATTTTAATGACACCTACAAGGTCACTTTTCTTGCCCCCCATTTTGACGAGCATAAAAACCTATCATTTCTACCTACGGCCAACAATACATTAAAAAAAAACCCAGTTGAGTTTTATCACAAAAAAAAAAAACTTTCAGACTTTGTAATGAGAATTAGACAATCCCGGATTCCAATCAATCAATCAACACAACAAGGGCAAAAAGCAAACAAATCGAAATTTCAAACTGAAGAGTGAAAAAAAAAAAAAAGAGGAGACAGGAAACAAGAACATATCATTACGAATTTGACAAAGGACAATTAATTAAAAAGATAAGTTTTTTATATCAAATCAGATCCAATGGAATGATGGGCAGATTAAAAAAACTAAATTTAATAAAAGGGGGTAAACTTGGGGTTAAAGCAGGGAAGCAAGTAGAGAGAGAGAGAGAGAGAGAGACGAGGGAGAAGAGATTGGAGATCTTGAAAGTGACATAAGCTCCGAAGCGTTTGATTAGGTGAAAGAGCTCTTGTTTGGAGGTGTCACCCTCACCACCACCCATGGCCACGGCTGATTCCTCAAGGCAAAGGTCAAATCAAGCACTTCACTTCTTCTTCATCATCATCATCATCATCGATCAATGTGCAGATTTTGCAAAGGAATGAATGTTCCAAATCCAAAAGCACAAACAGATACTAATAATTTTATGGCTCTGTTTGCCGTCAACAATTGCTATAAGCTGTCGTCAAAGCTTCCAGTTTTGATCCAAATATATCAATACAGTGATTTGCATCTATCATGTCTACGTGACACCAACCAATTTTCTTACACAAAATATATTTTATAGTGTCCACATTTTTTAAAGCAAAATAAAAAAATTTAAAGCACTCAAAATAAATCTTTATAACATTACACAATCACTTATAAACTTTTTCTTATAAAAATCCATCAATATATCGGTTAGTATATGATCTCTTACTATATCCTTAATTAAAAGAGAATAAATAAATCTACATTTATCAAGGGTTTTATGTATTATTGTTATACTATCTTTTTTATTTATTATCTTTAACCTGGGTTACATTTATCAATAATACTACAAGTGTATTACTTTAATTTTTTTTTTTTTTTTTGGAATATATATAGTTTTATTATTTAATTACAAATGACTATACCTATTACTAGTTTGAGAAATATGGGACATTGAGTATTTACAATAAATACCCGCGTGTTCGACAGGTGCCAAAATCGGGTTCAATCAGTTTTATGTTAAATTGTGTAAGATATATATATTTTATAAACAACGAATTCGAATTTGAATCCCCTTGTTTTATAATCAGAAAGTTTATTATTGGATTACTTTTAACGAGGAAAGTTATATTTACCACCTATTTTTCTTTACAATCTCTTACAATTATATCTTAACCGTTGATTTTCGCCAATCAACAGTTATCATTTATTGTGAATTAATAATTAATTAATTAATTTAATTTGAAAAATAATAACCGTTGTTTGACGAAAATCAACGGTGTTAAGATATGGTTGTAAGAGGTTATAAATAAAAATAAATTGTAAATATAATATTTTTTTAATTTAATATTTATTATATTTTAAAACCTAGTTGAACCACTAATTTATTACTTCAATCGAGTCAATGACGCGCCGAGTCTTTAAAACTCTGGTAAATATTTTTCAACTTTTATTATGCCTCAAGCTTCAGAATTAGTTTGCCTAAAAATGTAATGCCAATTTTCTACTTTTAGTTTTTAAATTATTTGCACAAAAAAATTATACAAAGTATCCTCAAAGTATTTATTAACATTTCTTAATTTCTGAAATTAAGAAACTTTTATCACACGTTTTTGCAAAACATTTTTTTGTTTAGGGTGAGAGATACTTGCACTCAATATTGGGCTCTATCTCGTAAGGCTTTTAGGCTTTTTAAACATGTTTTGTGCTAAAAAAATGTGAGATACAATAAATAAATAAAATTCTTTTCATTCTAAACGATTGTAAGATATTCAAGCACAGGAACACATGGAGGGTGATCAGTCCAACAGGAATTGACTCTAATTGGTAGTTAAAATTTCGATTTAAATATTAGATTTTACGATTTTATGATTTTTTTCAATCAAAACAATTTTATCAAAATTCCAAACGCTTTTACGATTTTTCTTACGTTAGGATTTTACGTTTTATGATTTTTTATCCTCCTTCCGATTTTAGGTAAAATTCCAATTTTAACTACCATGGTCTGATCACATATAGTTGAGCGAGGTCCAAGCGGCGATAGATGATGTGACAGGATTTATTGTTCTGCTTTATGCATGGAATGATGATAGTAATTTTAGGGGGCGTTTGATTGAGAAGAAATTTTTTAAATACTAGGGAAATGTAATTAGTAGGGAAATGGTTAAAAATGAGTTTGGTAAGAAAATGTTAAAAAAATTGTTTGGTTGGACAAAATTTTACCGAAAAAATTAAATTAAATTATATAAGTCCATGTTTGGTTGAAAGTAAAATATTGATGGAAAAATTGATATTAATGGCCAGAATAACCTTTATTTAAATTTTGCTAATCTTACAAAATGTTTTCCCACGGTTTTTTGACCCTTATAACCCTTTATTAATAATTAATTATCAAATTGACCTTCATTATAAATTATTTCAAAAATTTAACCCCCTCAAAAAACATAACACCAATCTGCCCCTGTTTGACCGTTGACCAGCAAGCCTACCCGGGTACACCCCTCCCTACCCGTTGACCGTAGGAAAGGGTGTACCCGGGTATTGTTCTTGGCACCTGAAAAATTGTTTGAATTATTTACCCGGGTAGGTAAGGGTGTACCCGGGTAAATCTCCAGTACACCCCACAGCTGAAAAATTGTTCTTGGCCCCTGTTTTTGCCCACCCCACTTTGGCACATTCTACTCTTCTTAGTCTTCACTTTCTTTGACCAGAAACAGCTGTACACCAACATTTCTCCTCTTGCAGCTTTGATTGGTCAAGCTTCTGAGCAGCAGAAGGAAAGATACGAGATAATGATTTACTATGACATGAACATGACACCGTAACTTCCGAAAAAAACTCAGTCACATAGGACAATGTTCCACCATAAGCACATTACAGGTTAGCATGATATTACTACCAATGATGCAGTAGTAGCACCATCTCAACTGGCAATTCAAAAGCTTTATGTTTTTAGAAGGAAAAAAATCTGCATCTAAATCCCTATTCTTAGTCTGGCCAAATTAAATCAGTTAACTTTTTATGACTATTGAGTCAAGTCAAATGTGGAGCAAGCATGTCAATTTATCTCTGCGAAGAAGAAAGTAGGAACAACACCTATAACCATATAAACAACGCATATTTGAATGTGTTGCAGATTTACCCGGGTAGACCCTTACCTACCCAGGTAAATAATTCAAACAATTTTTCAGGGGCCAAGAACAATACCCGGGTACACCCCTCCCTACCCGAGTATTTTTTGAATACCCGGGTAGGGAGGGGTGTACCCGAGTAGGCTTGCTGGTCAACGGTCAAACAAGAGCAGATTGGTGTTATGTTTTTTGAGGGGGTTAAATTTTTGAAATAGTTTATAATGAAGGTCAATTTGATAATTAATTATTAATAAAGGGTTATAAGAGTCAAAAAGCCGCTTTCCCACTGTTCATCCACTTTTTGTTAATGACCAGAGATGATGGGGTAGCTGTGCGTGTACTTTTTGGGGTAGTTTTGTCATAATAATGATTCACTTTTTTCCATTTACCTATGCTTGTTGAAATACCATGCTCAGATTGGTCAAGTGGCACAATGATTTTTCTAATGCCCACTTACCCATAACCTAGCGGATAAAGTACATTACATAGTCCGTTTTAGAGATTGGCGACTTACCCATTCAATGACTTTGGCACTGGACATTTCCAAAATCAAATGGGTACTGTACTCTCAGGTCGAGGGAATTCAATAATAGACACCTGTTAGCATTCCTGCTTTTTTGCACATGTTTTACAATAGCTAGGCAACCGTGAAAGATGGGTATGTTTTTGCTTCTCTTCTACCAAACGAAGAAAACTTAATATCCCACTCATAGATTACTAGGGAAGTTGACAAAAATCTTGAACCAAACAGCCCCTTAGAGAAATCTATTTGTTTGAGATAGATGATGTGAATACTTGCAAAACACTCTTGGGGAGGGGTTGTTTGTTACGAAGATTTTGATAGAATTTTTGGAAAAGTGAGGTAGGGAGAAAAAGTTTATTATGTTTGGTACGAGATAAGTTAAAAAATATTGGTATAAAATATTTCTCATGAATAATTTTTTCAACTGGATATTGGCAGAAAAAATACCATTTAAATTGTGGTATTTTTTTATCCTATTAATCGAGAATCTTGTTTATAAAATTTGTGGCAAAAATGCCCTAAATAGATGTGTTATCTTGTTTAATAAAATTTGTGGCCTGAAACTTGTTTAAAACACACATCATTTTGTTTAATAAACCAAGACAGAGACATCCTATTATAAAAAGAACGTTTAAAACAAATTTTCAAACATGGTGAGTAATTTTGTAATTTCATTCACATTCTCACATATACTTCACAACCAACCAAACATAGTATTATAAAAATAACTCCACATTTTCGGTAAAAATTTTGGCCTATCAAATATCTTTTTGTAATTTATTCGAAATAAAAAAATCCCGCCATATCTCGATATCTCTTTTTTTCCCCAAAAAAAAATATCTCCTATGCCAAATGTCCCCTATGTTAAACTTATTATTTGAGTGACGAGGTTAAATAAATTGAAAGAAGATGATCATAACTAGGCTATAAGCCTTTCTTTTATAGTAACGATATGACGTGTTTATGGCACTCTACTATGGTGGCATGCATTTTTATTGATGGATTGTGGTGACTTTGTCAACTTATCCCGTCTACGGGATGCCTTTGACAAGTTATGATACATAGGCTTCGTGCATGTTCCTTAACCATTAACTATTAAAGAGGTTCATGAATCCTGAATTGTTGTGAGTCTATTTGTGCATTTACGAGATTGAAGGTATATGTATGTTTCTTTATTGATTAAATCTTTATCTTTAGAATTTTTGACTATTAATGGACTGAACCCTTCATCCCATTTAAGTTCATTTCAGAGGGGGTGAAGGAAGCTTGGGCCTATGATTACATTTTTAATTATACAATATACATTTTTAGTAAAAAAAAAAAAATAGATCACTTCAATCATTATTTACTTTTTTGTTAATTTACACTACTAAAACTTAAAATACTGATTTAGTTGATAAATTTATATTTTATGAGTCAATGCACTAATTTTTAACATGGTTTTTACTCTAAAAGTAAGGTTAAAATAATTAAAAAGGCAGCTTCATTATATTTATATCAATGAAAAGAAAAAGTTTTTGACGTAAGATAGTTTACAGCATCGAGAAATGTTAGTGACATACACTTTTTGATATTCTCTTTTAAACACTTTTTTTTTTATTATTATTGAGTGAAAATTCATAGAATATTGAGCTTACTTCAACTCAAAAAAAAAAATAGGAGAGAAAAATGAATATAACTGTATTTTATCACAATTCAAGCAAATGTAATAGGGCTTATTGTTATTGAAATCATTTTATCTCCGACTACAACATCATAACCCTACAAAGATGGATTAATGGTGATAAAAGAAGAGGAAAAAAAGGAATCATAACCATTCAGAAGTGAATCAATTAATATAAGAAAATAAATAAACAAAACGACATAATTTTGGAATGATCGAAGATAAACTTATCCCAAATTACTGCATGAATCATATATATCGTTCTCATTCTTTTTCTCCGCAGAAAGAGAAAGGCATCACAAACAAGCTTTGACATGGACATGAAATACGGAAAACGAAATTGGCCCATGAATGATCCAATAAGGAGGGCATGTGGCCTAAAATTTTAATTAACAAAAACAAAAAAAGACTCAGATTAGACCACAATCCACAATTTGAGGTGGGGAAGAGCTTTGGTTATCTTCAACTGATGATATTTGAGACTCGTGGTCATCTATAGCCTTCGGTGCCAATGCCCTTTCAATCTTCAGGCCCGTACCACTGACCAGCATCTCTTTTTCTAAGTGCAAGCAGTAGCTCTCAAACACCCGAGAGGTTACCATAACTCTAAAATCCAAAAGAAAGAGTAACTCTAATTCAAGCTTGTTCAATTCAGTATTGCTCACTCCTCCTACTCGAGCATATACCGCGTTGTTATAATGTCTACAATTCAGTTAAAAAAAAAAAACAAAGAATAAAGCACACTATTAGACAATCCGAAACAAAGACAATAAAATCTAGAGTAAATATCTTTTTTAATCCTTACCAAATTTTACGATGTCCGCTTTAATCTTTAGTAAATAAAAAGGCTATTCGTGATCTTAAGAAATTCAAAATGAACCCATTTAGTTAAAATCGTGATCCTCACGAATTCAAAAAAGACCTACATTAGTCCCTCAAAAGGTCAAAAGGACTAAAATAAGTTCATTTCGAATTTCTTGGGGATCACAAATAACATTTTTATTTGCTAGGAACTAAAGCGGACATCGTAAAATTTGTTGAGGAGCGAAAAAGGTATTTAGTCTAAAATCTATACTTGAATTGAAATATTCATAAAAATATGAAATGGTAAAATTAAACTAAAACCATCTTCACTTCAGCAGCATGCTTAACATAAATGGCACTGTGTGAAATATTAACCCTCTAGAAAATTAGCCTATTGAAACCATGACATGACCTTAACCAAAATTTCCAAGAAAGAGAGAAAAGGGGGTATGGGGCATGGACTCACTCATCATCCAGCATCTTGGAAGCCACCATGACAGTGGTAACTAGCAATCTGTGCACATTCAAGGATATGACAAGAGAATCAGGGTGCCTATGTGTCAACCTGTCTATATACACATAGCCAACCACAAAACAAGATGGACTACAATTAGTGTACTTGTATATCCTCTCCAAGTACTTAGGTATGGTTATGCTTGGTGCTCTTACGCCATGAAATGCATTCAAGCTCTTCCCAAGTCTTACTGAGCCACAGTTTAGGTCATCCACCAGCTTTTCATTACGAGCCACCAGCTTCTCTAACATGGAAGACAGGACGCACAGCACCCTTGGCAAGTTCAGCTCGGCGGGGGTTGTTTCCGGCTGCAGTTGCCGGCGGCCATGGTTGCTGGACTCAGCAGATGTTAACATTTAGACCATCTTGGTTGTTTCACCTGATGGAGTTACACTTGAAGATGCTCATAGTGACATGGTTGCAATTTGAGTGGTTAAAGACTAAGAGGACGTTAACTCCAACTCTGCTTGTTATCTGGTTTGAATGAACCACTCACTCGCAGGTTGACGTGTGTGGCTCTGTCCAGAGATGCCAAAGTGGATCGGCCCGTCTCTTTTGGCCTAGCTCGTGTGGGTTAAGGTCAAAAAATTTGTAGATCAAATGAACTTCAATAATTAAAGCTCGCACACGGGCCAAAAGTCATATTAGTTAGGGCCAATCCGTGGGTCATCCAAAATTATAATTTTATAATTTTTGTATCATATTCAAGGGATAGGTTATTCTACCTACTCCCTTCTTGCCTACCTTTTGCCTACCTTTTCATCACCGTTGGATTACAATCTAATCCAACGATCCATAATTGCGAAAAAAATAACCCTTTTTTTTTTCTTTCTTTCTCCTCACTTCTTCCCACACCCTTTCTCTCTCCTTCCCTTTCTCTCTTCCTCTACCCTATACCTATTTTTTTCCCTTTATTTCTGATCTCTGCCGAGGTGAACGCGCGCGGAAGCATTATGCGATTCATCGACCACAACATTTGAAAGAGTTCTTACATTCTAATTATTGTATTCGATTCCATCCAATCAAACAATCAACAAAGTTTTTTATTTTCGATTAACTTTATAGGAAAAGGGGTACAAGCATGGAAGGGTATCTGCAAATGTAAATTAGCTTGGTCTTGAACTGAAAAAGAAAACCCAAAGAAACCACTGAATGGTTTTTAATATCTGATGATCTCGCATAGGATTTCAGTCATGCTCCACAAAGACAAGGGTATCTGCATATGTAAATAGGTAGATGTAATGAAACAATTTATAATACCCTTCCCTATATAATTCAATAATAAGTTAATAGGGAAGGGTATTATAAATTGTTTCATTACATCTACCTATTTACATCTGCAGATACCCTTGTCTTTGTGGAGCATGACTGGAATCCTATGCGAGATCATCAGATATTAAAAACCATTCAGTGGTTTCTTTGGGTTTTCTTTTTCAGTTCAAGACCAAGCTAATTTACATTTGCAGATACCCTTCCATGCTTGTATCCCTTTTCCTATAAAGTTAATCGAAAATAAAAAACTTTGTTGATTGTTTGATTGGATGGAATCGAATACAATAATTAGAATGTAAGAACTCTTTCAAATGTTGTGGTCGATGAATCGCATAATGCTTCCGCGCGCGTTCACCTCAGCAGAGATCAGAAATAAAGGGAAAAAAATAGGTATAGGTTAGAGGAAGAGAGAAAGGGAAGGAGAGAGAAAGGGTGTGGGAAGGAGTGAGGAGAAAGAAAGAGAAAAAAAAGGGTTATTTTTTTTCGCAATTATGGATCGTTGGATTAGATTGTAATCCAACGGTGATGAAAGGGTAGGCAAAAGGTAGGCAAGAAGGGAGTAGGTAGAATAACCTATCCCAACATATTTTATACAAATTATAAAATTTTTATAATTTAATTTTTTTAATAAAATAATATTTGTACATAAATATACAAGTGAAAATGTAAACAAAATTTTAATATAAGTGAAAATTTAGTTACTACTTTTACTAAATTCATTATTAAATGATGCCATCAAATAAAAATTTTCTCAATGTGAGTCATAACATGATACAACAATTATAGTGAAAAACTAAAAGTAATGATGAAAAAATTATCTTAATACCAGCATTGAATAATTGCTTAGTATGTTATGTATTTTAAAGTAAAATCATTGATTTTCTTTAACTACTACCGTTATAAAAAAAAAATTAGTTATTATTATCCACAAAATTACTAAAGTGCATTGTATACAATATGTTTCCATACAAATTTGGATATATAATATGTTTAGATGTCAATAGAAAATTTTACTTTTATTGATGCACAGATAAAAAAAGGGACGGAGCAGTGATAAAGCTGTTATTTCATGATCAAAAAATTATGAGTTCGAATCCAAAAATCAACCTCTTTGCAATTAATAATTATACAAAGATAGGGCTAAAAAGAATGTTTTACTGAACTTTAACTCATTTTTGACACCTTTAGCTCCGTCACTAACGAAGTTTCAGAAGATTGCGATTGGAAGTTTAGCATCCTTTTCTTTGCAAATCCCAAGCCACAAATATTCTTCAACACGGGTCCCACCCCTATGTGGCTTGTCTTGGGAAAAAAAACATAGCCATGCCTGAGAATATACAGTCTGGCAACATCAACTTGGCTCGGTTGGTTCGTGTGCGGCACAGAAGTAGAGGTCCATCTTTGTACACTGCAAATACTAGGCCCTTATGAAAGGCCATTGAGTACGGTATAATGGTGACTACCAGTCAAAAGGCAAGGGCAAAATCATGTTTTGCTAGTGTTGGTAAAGGATGTGCCACGCAGCCAACTTTCAATCCAGATAGATTAGCGAACTACAATATTTAAGGCTTGTTGCTGTTTAACTATATAGATATTTTCTTTATAATGAACACCGGGGATACTGTAGGTACAACTGGTCCATTTATAAACGCATAATAAAATTGTCATATAATGGAATAAGATACCACTCAAGAGCACTGTAATAATTGAATAAACTGTTCTTTTAGTGAATAAAGAATGACATTTTATATGCGAGGGGAAGCCAATGAAACGACAAAATGGAGATCCCCTATCGTCAAAATATTTGAAATATACCTTATATGATACTGCCAAAGCATCATACTGTGCTCTAGCCTATACATTGTAGTTACTGGAATGAAGTAATTTATCTTCCTCGTTTGAGATTTCACTGACTGAGAGCTGCAGGTGTGATTTGGAATTCATCTTGTTCCACTCATTTTCTACACGAAAAAAGATCCACTGGAAGCGGCGGAAAATCTCCAAAGAAGCAATTGTGAACACCGTTAGGTAATTATGGCGAAGATGGGCAGACAGCTTGTATGTCCATGTGCAACGCAAAACCAGATTGCTTCCAATCACCCAAAAGTAAACCTGCAATCCCATGCATATTATAAACTACTTCAGGACAGAACAAACTATTTTTTTGTTAACTGGTCTTTTATTTCTTCTTTGACCATGTTGTTTTCACATGCTTAGCAAACAAGTTAGAATCACATTAATTATACCCATATGAAGAGTTAGAATTGGTATTATACCCATATGAAGAGTTAGAATTGGTTGATTTAACCATCGATTGAGCTATGGCATCATGAAATTAGTCAATCTTTATCGAGTTTTAAAGGCAGTGAAAAGATTGAATCAGATTTTCCAACTAGTTTACACTCAAGGATGGCTCATTGGCTCCTCATCGTGCAATGAGGAATCAATGGCCTATTAAAAAGTTTTAAAATTGCTATATTTTTATTCACCTTCTTATTATTATTTTTATAATATATATACTTGGCATCGCCACACACAAACTTTTCTTAGAAGCCCCAAGTCCCATACATGTTATATTTCGGCCTCTTTAATACCTTTTTTACCACCCACATTTACATTGCCAAGAAATGTGAGGCACACTTGATAACTTAGTTAAAGTGAGAAGTATCGTGACTTGTTTACCTTTAAAAGTCAATATAAATAATTAATTCTTTTAAGCAGAAAAGAACAACAGAACTCAGGCTATTCTGATATAAGTATAACAATCCTTACCCATCTCCTTCCATGTAAGATATGTGAGAACAGATGCGGCTTGTTGAACTTGAATATTCGAGTGAAGCCACTGGCACAAGAGAAAGGAATATTTATCACAGCATGCCATAAGACACTAATCAGATCCCAAAAAAAAAAAAACCTAGATCCACTCCTGACCGTAGAATCTACAATTTCTACAGTTATAAAGAAGCTAAGTTCGAAAGATACTATTAAAGGTGCATGGTAGGACAAACACCTGGCATACCTTAGGTCCCAATCTCGAGTCACATCCCAGTAGAAAGAGTATGATGAGTTCACAACACTTGACAGAAGCCAGAGAGGCCTATAAAAGTTTGTCCATCTATCAGGGAAGACGTGATATTTAAGGGCAGAAAGAAAAATCACTGGCACTGCGGTTGAATATTTTAAAGCTGAAACCATAACCAAAAGAAATGAACATCATTACAAAGCAGTAAAACCATCTGTTTAATAAAACATGATGAGTTGTTCATTAATGATTAAAGAATTCAATCTACAAAGCAAAGAAGATATAAAATCAGCAGCTAAAATACTAAAATACAAACAACAGAATATAATTACAAACAAAAGCGGTCTAAAAAGATTAAACATGACTGCTCAAATTTTTATCATAATAACAATTCCAATATCATGTGAAATTATGAAATTTTTAAAAATTTCAGATACATAGAAGAAATTTTGAATTATAAAATAATCATGCTATGAAGAGAAGTCTTAAAATGTCCCTCTTACAAACAGCTTAAGAAAGAAGTAAAAGAGTAGTTAGTCCTTAACATGAATTTGTATGTTTCATTCTTTTTTTCATTTATTTATTTACTTTTGAAACGAATAGCACAATTTCCTATAGCAAGCACAAACATCTCTAAAGGACAGTGGAAAAACCATATCATGCACAAAAGATTATTCAATCTAGGTAAAAAGCCATAGTTCACCTGACAAACTTTTATTAGCTTAAAACATATATAACAGACACATTCTAATGATTACACAACGAGGAGAATATCAGAAATTATTAAGAGAATTTTCAAACAGTAAAAGATGCTCTGGAAAGCTGATATATGACATTGCACTTGAGTTTATATATAATAGAGGTAATAAGAAATGGAGTCCTAAACACTTGGAAGCTATGCATGCAGAACAGATGGAAACAAGCACTAGATTCTTAAATTGTGTATGATACTAATTTGACACAAACATATTTTTTGTAATAAATACCAAAAAGACCAAAACAAACTCAATTTCTATATTAATGTTTAATAGCAATTTCATAAGTTTGCAAAAACTTTGACAATAACTAATACAAGCTCTAAAAAGGAAAACAAAAAAGGGCATTAATTAGAGCAACAAAGAGCTCTTACCATTCAGAAGAGTAGTTTTGTCTCCAGTATCTTTGTACTGCCGGATACATTGGTTTAAGCGGAAAAGGTAAGGCAAAACAAGAACTAAAGGGATTGCAACAGAGTGACTACCACAAACAGAATCAGCTTCCAACCAAGCAATTGTGGCAACCTACAGAAAGTTTAAGAAATGCATCCCCTAATGAGAGAGCTGAAGCATCCGCAAGGCAAAAACTAAATAAACAAGTTCAAAAAGTCTAATTGTTAATAAATAAGCTCTATGGGAATGGAGAAGGGTAGGCACAATTAAAATTGTAACAAGTTACAAATCTCAGTATTACAGAATCAATAGTACTGATTTAGCCCAAGAAAATATTTTGAACGAAATACAGGAAACTTGTTCCATGATCCCAACGCTAAACAAGAGGAATTTATCACAATACTTGAAGTTGACCAAATTTTGTCATAATGAGAGTACGAAACTCAAGTTACACACAAAATATGTAAATAAAAACTCCCTAACTGACAATAGAAGACATCATATTCAATTTATCAGAACCAAACCTGCCGATGGACCATTCTACACACTGAACGCTCCAAATCAGAAAAGACCTGCACAAAATTGCAATCATAATCAAAATAAAAAAAGTAATGCATAATAGAAACTTCAAAATCAAAATTTAGATCAACAAAATTATGTCAATTCTAAATTCTCAGGTTGTGTGTCAATGTTGGACCTTTGTATCTATAATAATAAACGTAACTAAATGCATGCACAAGTATATAACTTCAGATCTATAAATAAACATAGGCTCAAAACCTAGTTAATAGAAATTAATAATAAAGATTAACATGGAAGAAGACAAAGACTTTTATAGAGAAAGGTGATATTTAAAAGGAAGCAGACCTTTGCCATGGAAGTTAAAATATCAGCCAAGAAAAAATCAGAGAATGATATTGCCTGTTTCCATGGAAATATAAAAACGTTAGATCATATTCAAGCATAGTCCCACCAAGTTACAAAAAGCATCAATTGATAACGGATAGGGTAAAGCAAGGGAAAGGATGAAGTCTTAAGAATCTGAATAAATAAAGAAAAAGAACAATTCTCATCTAAGTATCTAAGTTTAACAATTCAATAGTTCCCAGGTATCTTCAAGGAAAGATCATAGAATGGTTCAACCTGATGCCTCTTTCAAAGGTTTTAATTGTGCACGTAATAGTATATGTTGTGTGCACTAACACTGTCATTGATTAATGGCACCTATCATGAAAAAGGATGTGATAAGAAGGTTATTAATTGTTATGAATAATTTATTATTTATGATACATAGTCTTGCCAGCTTTTCTTCTCACTTCACTAAGAACAGCATGCATGTGAGTATCTGCATTGCAATCATCTCATCCAATGCACTAACACTGGTTGCATGCTTTTTAATGGCTTCCAAAAAGGGAAGAGGGAGCTGCATGGACACTTCTGTTGTTTTTATGAACACTGAACTATGAGTTAGATATGAATCTAGCATTCTATGTTCATGCTCATATCATCTGCCTGCTTATGCATAGCATAAATATAAGTCAGACACTAACAAACAGTGTCAACTATTTCAAGAGTAGCACTACAAGAACTGACTAATACAATACACCCAAATAAGAGCAAACTTGCCTGTAATGGAAAAACTATTCGCCAGAGTGTCCTTAAGAAGTAATATCTAGATGAAAAATAAAAGACATCAAAAGGGAATATCAAAACCATTACAACAGCAGCATACAAGAGCACCTGCAGAAGAGTAGAAGGAAAATTCAAAAAACTTCCAACAAGAGAAAAAAAGGAAGCACAGAATGGAATTAAAAATTGATCAATCATAAATAAAGCAATGAATAAAAATAATACGTATTTACAAGTTATTTTCTGCTGAAAGATTATACTGACTATACTTTTCATTGGTGATATAAATAAATATAACCTGCTGTATGGTAAATGTCTTATTTATGTTTTGACACTGGACAGCTTGGGTGATTCAGACAAGCAGGCAGTACCCATCTACCAATAATGAATTCATATTAAGAAATTTGTTAAGTAACCATTGGAAAGATATTTAAATCAAAATATCCAATGCGATGCTCAAGGGGGAAAAAAATTAGGCAGCGCAATAATTCCCTTAGGACATCATAGAACACCCAAAACTCAACTCTGGTCCCCATCACAGTTTAATGATGTTAGTTAATCAATGATGCTCCAACTAACTCTACGCAGAGCATCTTTGCAATGCATCCCAGTAAAATGAGCAGTACTCATTGCCAAAGACATTTTGCAGCAAATTTACAAGAGTCCCCGAGATTGGTTTATCGTAAACTCATTTTTATTGTTCATCAGTGAAACCAAAAGTACTTAAAAAAATTTGCAATCAAATTAATTACTCTTTAAGAAATGACAATACTACAGTACTAAATTGAAAAAAGGGATAACCAAGGAAACAAAACTTAAATAACAAGTAATAAGAGTGGATGCATCTATTACACTGGTTGTGATGCAGCATATGAGACTTCTCCATGAGAATAAAGATAAATATATGCTGTCATACTGGTTGGAACAATAATTGTCATCCATGTGGCACACTGCAACAATCAACAGAAAAATTAAAAAAAAAACACCAGTCAATCATTTGAGACTAATTATTAGAAAGAGGGGAACAAAGACACAGTGTAAAATGAGAAAAAGAAAGTATTAGAGAAACGGGTGAGAAGAAAGCCAAGAAAATTAGCCACTTTGACAATATAATAACAGTAATTGAAGGCCAAAGCACCAAAAACTAACGTAAAGATTATAAGATAATAAAAGGAAAGTTACTTAGAGCACAGCTGGTGGTACACAGACTTATCATTCCATTACTACATCTATTCCCGAGGAATGAGGGTTACTTAGTTTAGTAAAAAGATGGAATAATGTTTACATTCTACACCTTGATCCCAATAGGAATCCCTATTCCCTCCTAGAGACGTGGGAATGTTCATTCCATACAAACTGGAATTAATTCATTTTTTTTTATCCTTATTTATCATAACTAGTTATAATTAAGATTCCGTTCTATGATTGTTTCATGTACTAAGCATAAAAAACAGAATGGACAAGAATAAAAGAACAAGTCCATTCTTGAGAAAACCAAATATGGGAACAGAAATGGTTGCTTTGCTCCATTCCAAGTGATGCCACTCCCATTTTTATTCCCCTCACAATCCTGCAAAAACTGATTTGATGTGCCAAACATGACATAAGTCAAAGTCATGAGTTGTTACCTTCCATACTTCTTTGTGAGTCAGATGATTTTGATCAAGATCAAATATTTTAGCATAATTGACTCCACCCTGAGCAAAAAACCATAAGTTGATTCCCCAAAGCCAAACCATCAAAGCCTGAAATAAAATAAAAAATAAAAAATATGAGATGAAACACAATGACACAACAAAGAATGTAAAGAAAATTCAAAACTAGTATTTTAACCTCCTTGAATGCAGATATATCCATGTAAACATACAGACTGTGACATGCACACGTGCACACACAGACACAGTAAGAGGGGGGGAGAGAACTAACCGCAAGAAGAAGAGGATTAAAATACAAAAATGCTTCATATAGAAATAATTCCCGCTTGTCCACACTCATTCTCATAACAGAATCCCATCCAATCTGCAATTTTCAAATATGGCAAATAAGATTGTGGCAATATGATGAAATCCTTAAGTTAAGGGGACAATACCTCAATCTCACACCCCACAGTGAAGTTGTGGAGTGTTGTAGAGAGAAAATGTTACTGACCTTGCAACAGATGAAGCCCCAAATAAGGAATAATAGTACCTGGACATTCATCTCAATTAGATTCTTGAAACAAAAAAGAGTAGAAGGACCAGAACAAGAAAAAAAAAAAAAAGGAAGGAAAGCAGTAGGAGGCACACAATAGGTCTAAAGTCAAATTGCAGCTCACAATTACAATAATGTACGTAACTCCGAAAAAAGATTTCAGTGAATAATTATCCGCACTCTAATAAATCATGTCAACCAGCCACATATTTTTCTCTCCAAAAGAATCAAATTTTTGGAGCAGCTCAACAAGAATGAAAGAGATAAAACATCCCATCATTATGTAAGACAACTTTTGCAATTATTCAAACGACAGCATCAAACAAAATATAGAATAAAATTAACAAGAAGGTTCCTAATGCTTTTAGACAGTAAAAGAATGTAATAACCTTGAATCTCCACAACAATGTAGGAGAGGGCATTATTGCAGCGGCACTCATTGATATTGTACCACCCCTTAAATCATTTGCCTCGACGGGATGCAACAAACCTTCCTCAACGCCATTTTCCACCTCATATTCATCTAGGAATAACACAAACTATGAGTTGCACTGATATAAAACACCAAACCAATATAAGGAAAACTCAAAACAACACCGATGCAGTTAAGGGAATTATAAATTGAAGTTACCAAGATCATATACAACAGCTCTGCTCCCAGACTTGCGTAAGTGTGGACTATTAGCAGGAACGGCAACACCTCCAAACATAGATGAAAAAGACAAACAACTAAGCTCCTTTGTACTTGTATACCTCTTCTTCCAATTATGCTAACAACCTTTCAACATGCAAACTTTGAAAAATAAAAAAATAAATCAGCAAATCTCTAAACTCTATCTAATGCAAACTGATTTGATCAAAGAAAATCAACATTTTTATAAAAATAAAATAAAAAATAGAGGATTCCTAGAGTTTCTGCGGATCTTACTTTAGCCGCAGAGAAAGCATTGCCTAACACAAGCATATCTATGGAGATTCATGCACGAGCTACATTGTGTAATTTTCAGAAAGCACAAATGAAACCTAAGATATTAAAATAGTATCAAGTTTTCGGGTTAAATGAAGAATTAAGCATAAAAATGTTGATCCAAAAAGGTGGGAAATAGATAGAAAACGAACCGAATCGAATTGGTGGATGAATTGCTTGTGCGATTTGGGATCTCTTGATATCTCAAACGGCAGAGGAAAGTTGAGGATTGAGTAAACAACAACAAACGCGTAATATTTGAATTTTAAAGAGAGTACTTTTTTTTTTTTTTTTTAATTTGATTTCCATACAAAATAACCTTAATATAAAATTTCCCTCATAATTTTATGAATAAAGAATTAGCTATATATTTTAACAGAATATTATAAAATGTTACCCGTATTTGTATTAGAATTGTGTTTCAATCATATGAATATCTTTAAAAATTTTATACCGATTCAATTCAATTTACAGTTAAATTATTAGTTTTCAAATTGATTTATTGTTTAATGGGAGAATTAATTTATCGAATTTAGATGTGTGTTTCGATTAATTTATTTCAAAGGGAGATTAATCTTTTGATAAAAATATTTGAAAACAAAATGTAATTATTTTGTGATTTCATAAATTTGGAGAAATAAACAAAACAATAGCGAAAATCAATAAACAAGAGAAAGTAGGCTTACAGACTCGGGCTAAGCAAGGGTAGTTTTGGAAGCACTCATTTTCATGGTTTTTACTTACCTGATTATCGATGAAATATCATCATTGAAATAGGATTTCAACCCCGTAGATTTGGTTCAATTTTGTATGTAAACCTCAATTGATAGGCAAATTTTTAGATCACCTGTACCAAACGTCGACAATCAACTTACCCACTTTTTGATGCCTAGGAAAATCTTGAGATACCCTATACCAAACGCCTAAGAAGGGAAAGTAGGCTTCTTATGTAGCTGCACAACTATCAAGTGACAACAACATCCTGAGCCTTTGGAGACGGCATGTTCTTCAGAGACGAAGCTTTACTTCTTCATCACTGCATTAAAATATGTGACGCACAATATATAATGTTCTACATAGCTTAAAGTTGAAGAATACCCTAATGACTCCGGAAACATAAAGAAATCGACCTATTGACCAAAACAAGGTGAAAAAAAAAATTATTATATACTTTTTTTTACAAATTATTTATTCATTTAATATCAACAAAACACATGTGAGGAGGAGTATATGTGCTTTAAGTCGCAAATCATTATTACGTACGAGGAACACTGACCAAAATATCATTTTCCACTAATTTTTTACTTAAATGTCACGCAAACAGTGTTATTTCCCAATCTACCACGGGGGCAAGTTCGCTACAGCGGATAGCGAACTCGGTTGGTTTGCTGACGTGTCACATTTTTAGTAGACACCAAGTTCGCTATACGGGATAGCGAACTTGGTTAACTTGGTTTTAACCAAGTTCGCTACCTTATCTTTTTTTTTTACTTGGTATTTTGTTAACCACTAAAAATATGACACGTCAGCAAACCAACCGAGTTCGCTATCCGCTGTAGCGAACTTGCCCCCGTGGTAGATTGGGAAATAACACTGTTCGCGTGGCATTTAAGTAAAAAAATTGGTGAACAGTGGTGTTTTGATCACTGTTCTTACGTACGACTAGTGCAAACGTTTGCATAGCACGACACCAAAAAACTTATCTACCTTCACTTTAGAAATATTAAAGCCATATTATATACATAATATTATATACATCTTAATAGTACTTATTTATTTACAGAAGAACCAGTGTCCGAGTAAAACTGCTGAAATATTTATACCAAAAAAAGTGGCTGAATTTTTCAGCCACGATCCTTTCCACGTTAGCCAAGACATCAATTTCCAGAGCTCAGATTTGGCCACCCCAACAAAGGAAACCTAGGAAAACCTTGACTAAATAACCATCAAAGTTATGTTACTATGTTACCTCACCCATCCTGTCACCAAACTCAACCCACCTTGCTTGTTGCTCCATCCTCAAGCGCTCAAATCTGAAAACATCATTTTGCTTGTGTTAGACAAACACACTTTCACTTCTCAATATGCATTTCCCTTTTTTGCTCCCATTCCCATTCACGGATTCTGTATTTGATCTTGGATTGATTTTCTGCACCAGCTGCATCTAGGAGGGAATTCAGCATTTTTTGTTTGGTAAGGGTAACGCTCACTTTTTTGTTTTTTGTCTGTTATATATTGTCTAGACATAATTATAATGGGAAAGCTAATGTGGGGTGGGGTTGAAGATTGTTCATGCAAGGTCACATTGATGACGATGATGCATGTTGAATTGTCATGCATGTTTGCCTTACATTTTCTAAAAATAAATAATAAAATGTGTGTTTTAACCCAAAAGCTAGGTTATATTAATGATTTTATGTATTTCTAGCACACCCTCTCGTACGAGAGTCTATTGTGCTTGAAGGATGGACAATGTACAGACCCACATATCAGTGCTAAGAAATTCCACAAGACTTGATTAATTATTAATTAAATGGGGTGGCGAGGATCGAACCTGTGACACCGAGCTCTAATACCATATAAAGAACCAATTCAACCAAAAGGTTAAGGAGTTAAGGAGTCAAGTGAGGTTATATTAATGATTTTATATATCTGCGACATAAACTTTGTTTTCTTTGATTACTTTCATTGAAATGGCTGAAGGGTTAGGAGCTACGTGGCTCAAATTGGAGGATTAGAATAAACAAAGCGGAATTCCCTCCATCAGTTGAGTTATAGTTTTAGTTAGCATGAATAAACAGTGACATTATAGGAGCATGGAACCTCTATGTGAGTTTTGTGGGGTTGTAAGAGCTGTGGTTTACTGCAAATCAGATTCTGCTCGTCTCTGCTTGCATTGCGATGGTTGTGTACACAATGCTAATGCTTTGTCCCGTAGGCATTCACGTTCTCTCCTCTGTGATAAGTGTAATTCCCAGCCAGCAATTGTCCGTTACATGGATCATAAATTGTCTATATGTCAAGGTTGTGACTGGAATCCAAATGAATGTTCAGTATTGGCACATAGGCGTGTGGCATTGAATTGTTATACTGGCTGTCCCTCTTTGGCTGAATTTTCTAGGATTTGGTCCTTTGTGTTTGATGCTAATTCCTCATGTGGTGGTTGGGAATCACTTAGTACATTGCCTAAAAATGAGAGCTGCACTAGCAAGTGTCTGGAGCAACCTGATAATGACGGTTCCTTAGGTTTGGCTAATGACAAGTTGGATGAAATAGAATCATGTGTCAGATATGAACCTTGGATGGGGCAATCTCCCATGATTCCACCATCAACTCCAAGTTACATGCCGTACTGCAAAGATCAAGCATTTTTCTTTCTTCAAGACTCAAATCAGCCAAAGGTATCATTTTCTACTGGTTTTCATTTTGGTTAGAAACATTTCGGGAAAAGCACCATTTTAAAATTTTTGGACAAAAGAATTGCCCAGATAATTGGATAAGTTTTTTTAAACTAATGCAGTTAAACATGTCAGTTATACTGACTGAGACTAGTCTCATCAATGATACTGACGGGACTCATGCAACGTCAGCGCCACATAGACAGTCCCGTTACAGTAAAACTTCGGAAGACCATAACTTTTGACTCTGGTATCCAAATTAGATGATTTGTTTTTTGATTTCACATAACTTTTCGAGATCTACACAATGACACCTCATTTGACATATTTTATCTTCCACAAACATAGTTTGAATTTGTAACAATAGTATCACAATCACAAGAGCATTTAAATCCAGAAGATGGCACATGCGACAGCTAATAGTGTTGGATCGGAAAGAAATCAGAATCTTCTGGATTTAAATGATCTTGTAATTGTGAAACTATTGTTGCAAATTCAAACTATGTTTGTGAGAGATAAAATATGTCAAATGAGATGTCATTGCATAGATCTTGAAAAGTTATGTTAAATAAAAAAAATCATCTGATTTAGATACCCGAGTCAAAAATCATGGTATTCCGAAGTTTTGCGTGGTGCTGACGTGGCACGAGTCCCGTCAGTATCATTGACGGGACTAGTCTCGTCAATACAAGTGACATGTTTGACTACATTAGTTTAAAAAAATTTATTCAATCAACTTTAACTCAGCAATTCTTTTGCCCAAAAATTTTAAAATGATGCTTTAGCCGCAACATTTCTGTATTAGTTTTAACTTTTAAAGATAACTCAAGAATTAAGAAAGCTCTTCAATAGCCTCAATTATAAGAAATATAACTGCACTTCACTAAATTATCCTTTTTTGAAATATTCAAAATGTTAGTACTCCATCAATCCTCACTCATTTCATCCAGTGAATATATCAAGAGACAAGAATAAAATTATTAAATAAATAAATAAATTATGATTTCTTAGTTTCTTAAAGTGACAAATAAAATGAAACAAAAATATTTTTGTAAAATAACAAATATTTTGAAAAGGGGAGAGTATTTCACAGGGTAAGAAGAACTATAATAATGACAAAAGTGGTTAGAACTTGCACTATGAGAACTAATAATACTCTTTGTATATTTGATCAGTCCTCCTAACAATACTATGTTGTTTTTCTTAATGAAAACTGATACAACCTTCTTTCTTTTATATTTTTTAACTCATGAACTGCAGGGATGTCCTAATATCAAGGATTTAGGAATTCATGATGCAAATGGTCTCTGTGAAGGTCTCAATGTGGATGATGTTCACTTAAACTTTGAAAATGCTGATGAAATATTTGACTGCTCTCAAGGTACCACAAGATACAACCTTGAAGATGGAGGAATGGACTGTCTATTAATGGATAAAAACATATCAGTCACAGAATCTAATGGTCTTATTGAGAGTGCCATGGAGGTTTTTCCTAAAATTCAATTTATTATTCTCCTTTCTAAAACTCCTTATGGATATAAGGTTTACCAATGATGTACAAAACTAATTGTCATCAATGTGATTGTTTTAGGCATCATCATCAGTCCATCAAGATTGTGTGGCTTTTCAGTCATCTGGGGCTGGTGGGTCAGCTAGTGTGATGCAGGCCATCAACAGTAATGCAAATTGTGCACTTATGAATCCTAGCTTCAACAGAAACATCAATCTTGGATTTCATCAGGGTCAAATGCATTCAAGCTTATCAATTCAATTATCCAACATTACTGGTGAAAATGGTGCTACTGAATATCAAGACTGTGGTTTATCATCAATGTTTCTGCCAGGTGAAACTCCCTGGGAACCAAATTTGGACGGTACATGCCCACAAGCAAGGGATAAAGCTAAAATGAGATACAAAGAGAAAAAGAAAACTCGAACGTATGTACCTTCAACTCAGTATATGTGTTATGGTAAAATGAAATAGAGAGAGTTGTTTAGTTGATGCAACTTTTAAGACAAATATGCCCATTCAAGTTGACATGAATGTGAAACATAGATTCAAGTCACTAGAACTGCCTACAAGTCTTGAACTATGTTACGATCCCATTTGCAAGGTATAGGACTTGGAGTCCCACATTGGTTGTATGGACAATTAATGTGGGGTTTAACAAGGTCTTGGGCACTCCCACCCTTTGAGCTAGCTTTTGGGGTGATGCACCTCAAGGTTCTTATCAAATGGTATAAGAGCCTTCCACTATGCCTCCCGGTTGCAATCGAGCGGCGCGGGTGGTGACACCGGCATTGTAGTGTTCGCTCGGGACTAGTAAAAGACTAGCGCAAAGCCAGCCCCGTGGGCGCCGAGATTGCGGAGCGTGGTGGAATGTTACGATTTTATTTGCAAGGTATGGGACTTGGAGTCCCACATTGGTTGTATGGGCAACTAATGTGAAATTTAATAAGGCCTTGGGCACTCCTACCTTTTGAGCTAGCTTTTGGGGTGATACACCTCAAAGTTCTTATCAAACTATTTTGTCACTTTCTTTCTTCTGCTGCTTTAATTACAACTGCAAAATGAAGATTATTCTCTCATTTGTTTAATACAAGAGGAAAACATAAATAAGTGAAATTGTGTGCTAACACATGTCTGGCATCTAAATCATGTTCAAGGATATACAACTATTTATAACACAAATTTTGGGAGATCATGAACTATTTTAATCTTTTGGAGGATCAACTAGAAAGATGCAACAGTTGTAACTCTGAACTAATAATTAGAAAGAACTTATCCTTCGTTATGTAACTCTATCATAATATGTTCCTTAGCTACATTATGGTCAACTATTTGAAAGATCATCTTATCAGCTGCTCAGATCTCATGCATTTCACTTACTACAACATTTTAGAGTGCTGTTCTTTTGTGGTGGGGCAGGGTTGAGACTCCCAACTGATTTTTCTAATTTCTTATGTGCAGGTTTGGTAAGCAAATAAGATATGCATCTCGCAAAGCAAGGGCTGATACAAGAAAACGTGTGAAAGGCAGATTTGTTAAAGCAGGTGAAGCATATGATTATGATCCTCTTGTGACAAGAGACATCTAATCATATTATCTGCAATCATTATCTTTTCCACGCAAGATATAGTTCTGACTGGTAAGGTAGTATTACACCTAAAATTCATATGTTTTGAATGTAAAATGGAAGCTTAAAACTCTTAAATTAAGGATTAAAATATGAATTTAATGTCTATAATTTATTAATATTGAAATAATGAGATGAATTGTTATTAAGTTAATTTTTTGTAATTAATTAAGTCAATTTCTATGTTTTTTGGTGTTTTAGATATTTGGAAAGATATGGAGGCACAAATATCATGATTGCGACAAAAACTAGATGAAATCTCATTTAGAAGATTTGTCACCAGCGCTCAAAACAAAACTCAATCTTAATTCCTAGACGTTGGAATCTTTATAAATATTGCCTTCATGACTTTCTAAAGGAGTTTTTCACGAAGAGAGCTTTTTGGACCAAGGGGGAGCCTTGCGACCAGACACGAGAAGATGAATTTTTATAGTTTTCTTTATCTTTTGTTTTTGTTTCCTTTGCCATGTTTGGCTAGTTTCTTTTATAATTAGGGTTAGGCGAAACACTTTTGAATCTTGAATTAATTTACTTTTTCCTCTCAATTTAATGTTCTTGTTTTCATGTTGCACAATTATTTTGCTTATCATTCTTAATTCTTTTGTGAATTGGCCAATCATAGAAGAATATTTGAGTTATGCATGATAATAGGGATGATGGTGAATAATTCTGATTTGAATAAATTGTCAAGTTTTGTTTGATCTAGAGATAGACTAATAGAATCTCCGAGGTTGTTAATTCATTGCTCTTAATGCTAGATCTAAGCGGAATTACTAAGGAATTATGATTCTTAATAGGTCAAAGAATTGAAATACCAAGGGATTGTATTCTGATTAATTTTGGGATGAATTATTCGGTAATATAAGCTTGAATGTTCTTTGATAGGGAAAGTAGATTTAGGAGGAAATTGGAAAAAATCGAAAACCTAACTGCGTGTTCTATTCTTGAATTCCAACCCATTTTTTAATTGTTTGAATCCTTTTCTTGTATTTAATTGTTGCTTGACATTTGTTCTTTTATAATTAATATCTCAATCAATTCCATAAAAACTTTTCAATTAATCCAACTTTGGTAAACTATTGAACATAGTGCTTGATAGATCAATATTTGTGGGAACGATAACTTTTCTCATCATTTCATTACTTGAACGACCACCGGTGCACTTGCCGATTGACCAGGCAGTCCCCGGACATTGTGAATACATTGCTTTGCTGCCAGTTCTTAATCAACAGAAGTTTTGTTTATCTTATGAAAGTGGGATAGAATTTTAGTTCAGCCAGATAATTATTCGAAACTTGACTACTTAGGGGTTTGATGCAGATCTATATTAGAGCTTTTAAACAGGTTAGTATTTAGATGAAACAAAAATATGAAAAAAGTTTTGCATTTGGAAATTGTAGAAGAAAGGATAGTATATATACCAAGATATTGCATTTAATTGCATGTAAGAAGTGTAAGAGGTAACAGGCATTGGACATAGAGGAGCAGGAGGTTTGAACAGATTCAAATTGCATCACTGTCAGTTTCAGTTCAGACAAACAAACAGAGGGTAAGATAAATACCTCTTTATAAACAGTGCTGGAATTACTTGCAAGTTGCAATGAGTGCATAAGTATGATATTATTCATTTAACGTGAGAATAAATTCTGTCTAAAGGTCACTGCTCATATGAGAAGATCCTGAAGCATGAAACAGGAAAAATGACTCATGATATCGTTCTTTTCCAAAAGTTTCTGATATCATTCTTTAGAATGTTTATTATCAGAGAGAAATCGTTGCCTTTAAAATATTCTGAGTTGTTTGATATTAAAGTAAATGATAGGTTCAAATTGGGGTCTACATGACGAGTTTATAATATCAATTCAGCTTGTTTACAACGAAAACCTGAGATGCTACTTTGATGTTCAAATATCGAAACAGAGAAAAAAATATTACTTTACTTTGTGTGGTTGAATTACTAAAGCATTGCAAGCTCTCAGCTTCTTTTGACAGGGAATAGAAATCATATTTTGAATCATGTTTAGTTGTCATGCCATACGTCTCAGCATCTTAGATACTCATGCAGTTTATATAAAAATGTTATTGAACCAAAACTTCAAATGTGCAAGTATTTGTTCCTTCACAGTTCATACTTCTACATAGAGGAATTATCTGAAGAATCTGGTCAGTTAGGCAAAATGAGAGCAAGGGAACCAGTAAGATGCATAAGTTGATGTTTCATGTTACATTGTACTTAGGATATCATGTTGTTTGGCAAATGATATATTATTCACTTATTTTAGGCTTACACAAATTATGACCCGATCATCCATGTTCGAGAGACAATACTTGGAACTGTAGCAGTTCTTCCTAGTAGTTTAAAATTAGCATATAATTTTATGACATAAGTAATAATTGCAGTATGAGATGCTAGGAACTACCATGACAATATATATAAGATATTTTATTATATCTGCCAACACAGTGTAAACCATTGATGCCAGAAATTTGTTTTAAATAAAATAACCATAGAAATTAAATTTGAACTAACCACATCTACCAGAAGTTAAAAAGAAACCTAAAACATTGTGCATGCCTTCCTTGTACTGAATCTATAGTTGTATTAGCAACTTTCATATATTTAATCATGATATTGAGAAAACTTTTAGCACTTGCCCATGTTCAACAATTCCGCTAAGCTCTTTTATCTATCAACCAAGAGAAAACAAAGCCAGCACACAGATCATCTAAAGAGAAAAGATAAAAAGTTAAAGAAACTGGGAAGGGCTATTATGCATTCTTGAACACTTTCTGTTGGTGCTGTTGTTAGGAAGGTTTCCTATGGCCCAGCTTACATTGGCAGGAAGAAACACTTCTAAAGAGGCTCCAATGAGATATCTTCGTGTAAGGTTCTGACATGTGTTGCAGAGAAAGCACCTAATATGCCTAAGGGCCAAAAAATTGGCTCCATGAACCCATTTATCACATTTTCTACATAAATATGCATCATCAGCTTGGCAATACAATGAAGCCTTTAACCCGCATAGCTCACAACATGTAGAAGAACCTCTGGTTGCACCATGTGATGAAGCACTCTCTTCAAGTGTGAAGCTCCTGCAGGAACCACCATGTTTTTTCTCTTCTGCACCTTTGCACATATTTTCTATATGGGTAATAAAGCTTGGTGTAGTTTCTTGAATAAATGGTGTTGTAGATTGGTGGATGAATAAAAGCCTTTTATAACAAGTCTTCAACTAGAATCACATATATAAATACACGTTCTTTAAACAAGGACATGGATGCCACTGCTTCACGTAATCACATGTGTCTGTTGTATTTTACCCCATTTGTCCTTTTCCAATCATGACAAAAGGTCAATTTAGTCATTGGTGAGGAAGAAAGAATTAATGTGTGACACCACTAGTTTTGACAAAATAGAAAAGAGGGTGAAAAAAAAAGATAACATATGATTAAGCTTTAAGCTTCATGAGATGCTTCAAGGGTTGTTGTGAGCCATAATTTGTTTTGTTGAGTGGTTATGAAGCCTAAGAAGAAAGTTTAATTGTATGGTCTAGAATTAGCAACTTTAAATTTGTGACCCACCAAAGCCCATTTGGTTGCACGTAGGGCCACTTGAAATGGAAACTGAATGAGTTATTGGTATTGGTTGAGAAATTATTTGAGTTTTATACAATTTTATTTTTGTTTTACACGTTTGGACCCCAAAAACTAATGAAGTGTACTTTTGTAAGGCACAAGAGTAAAATGTGTCCTTGTCCACAAATTGTTCTTGAGGTTGACATATTAGTCCACATGTATGGTTGAAACCTGAGGAACATCAACCTATTATTTGACACGAATATGATGAGTTGGTGATTCCAAAGAAATAGAAAGTAAATGGACAATGAAATATCGAAGATGATTGGGTTTGGTGCTTTTGGTGACTTGGGGAGAGTTTTGCTGTGAATTCTCACCGTTCAATTTGACATAACAGACAACCACTAAAGAACCAATCAGATTGGATATCAAGTAATAAATTCAATTTATTGAACAGAGACAGGAAAGGAATTGTCCTTATTTGGTAATTGGTATTAGTTGGTGGAGAAGGAAATTTTCGGATTGGAGGAAATGAAACTAGTGATTGAATGCAATTATTCTAAGGCGCTAGCAGAATAAAAAGAACATATGACAATGAAACGCATTTCCTGGCTACCGAAAATGTTAAAGAGAAATTTACATATTTCTGGTTATTAAAAGCTAGATCATAAATAAAGGAACTGTTTGTTGTTTTTGTATGAAATTACGTTTGAAACACTCACGAGAGATATGTTGGGAAATCGATAATCGCATACTAATCACAAATAAAAAGAAAAAGAGAGAAAAATAATTGACATGATGATTTATCCAATGTAGGCTACGTTTAATTTATCTTTATTATATTTATTTCATCAACCACTAGTTATAAGTTATTCAATTTATAAGGAGAATATAAATAGATTAGAAAACTCTAACAACACTGTTTATGGATTCAAACCCAAACTACTAAGAAAAAGAAAAATTACAATAAATTATAAGCCCACAACAATTTCTTTTTTGCTGATCCCGACAACGAGGACCCTCATCAGCATCCGAAGTATGAGTCATACCCAACAAGATCTATGGGAATTAGATTAATGAGTTTAATGTTTCTTATGTTATAGGAGATAAAATTATGGGAAAAGTATTTCTCCGGTCACCGGAAATAAAGTTATCTCGAGTGAGATCAAAACGATGTCGTTTTGGGTTATAAGATTAAAAAAATATAATGACAAAAACTAATATAACCCTGCAATATAATATAATTACAAAAACACCTTGATTTTCGCCCCAAAACAACGTCGTTTTGAGCTCACTGGAGATAATTTTATCTCCGGTGACTGGAGAAATCCTTTACCCTAAAATTATTTCCTATGTATATATAAAAATGTGTGGAGTCCATATTT